CAGGCACTAAGGACCTTAGGGCTTATTCGTTTTATTACTTATAAATTTTCCTCTCTAGACAGACTTGTTTTATATAATGCTTTAATTAGGTCAAAGCTTGAGTATGTTTCGGTTGTATGGAACAATCTTACATAGACAGGTTCTAATAAATTAGAAACTATCCAAAGGAAATTTGCCAGTTTGTGCAATTACCGGTTTTTTCAGTTTAATATCCCACGTAAATATGAATTGATTTTAACTACTTTAAATTTCAGAACACTTTATACCAGACGACGGCATCTTGATGCTTTATTTCTTATTAATGTATTTAAGGGCAAAATAAATTGCAATTCCATCATGGACACTGTTGGTATTCGTGTGCCGTCAAGGCAAATAAGAGAATTTTCCACGTTTAGTGTGTGTAGTGCGCTTAGACATAGTCCTTCAGCCAGGTGTGTCATTGCTGCAAATGATGTATGTAAATTTTTGGATGTGTTTGGCTTAAACATAGTTTCTTTTGAGGGCACTTTCTGAATAAGAGAAATGATTTAGAGAGAGGCCTTGATTGGATCTAGCTTGGTTATTTATTTTAATTTGATTTCTGTTTTTTATTTTGTTCCTTGTATTTTATTTTATTAGTATTTTATTAGTGTTTTACATTTATACTAGTGTTTACCTAGGTAGATTATTTTCTTTTTATTAAATTTGTATCTCTGTGTTAGTGTTTGCCTGTCATAGGCCCTATGCTGTTGGCAAACACTCAACAAAGCAACAAAGGAATTGAACTATTATTATTATTCAATAAATGAATTGAATTATTATTATTATTATTATTATTAATATGGTACATTTATATATTTAGTTTCATTCGTTTGTTTTTGTATTTTTAATGTTTATTTTTATTATTATTGAAATGAATTTAATTATTTATTATATTTTATCCTGTACTCTGGTTTAGTGCTTGGCTGTTATTGGCCTTTTTGGCTGTTGTCAAGCACTTTAATAAATGAATTGAATTGAATTGAATGTTTGATTTACAGTATAAAAGAGTTTCAATTTATGCTGATTCCGTTTATGCCGGTTCGTCCAGGAACGCATCCCCGGCGTATATCGAGGGCTACCTGTACTGTATAGCCAGGGTTACAGGTCTTGCAGAGAAATATGGAGCATTAATTAGGGGCTATGTATTAAATATTGGGATGCTTTTGACGGAAGGTCATGAATTAACATGGGTGGAATTGTTGGGTAATGAATTCAGTGTTGTGATTTGAATAGGTATTGGATTTAATTGAACTCTAGCAGATTAATCACATAGGATAGTTGTGGTTTAATTAGCTGTGTTGCACTAGTGAGATGAAACTTCTGTGCAAATGTTAAAGATAGTGTTTTTTGTAGACTGTAAAACAGAAATATAACACTGCATGAAAGTTTTCTTTAGCTTACAGCTTGACAATTATAACTCATGGACCATTGGAGCTTGGTATGCAAAATTAGGTATGGCGATAGGTCATAAATATACTTAACACATGCACGTAAATGCAATTTGTAAGCTAAACTCTACAAACAAGCTACAGTACCAACAGTGTGAAACTTGAGATTATACCTAAGAAGTTCTACATAGAGTCTCAATAGCAGTAATAAATTGTTTCCCAAAATATGACAGTACACCCTAATAACGGTAATAATATTCTGCAACGTGTTTGCAGTTGTAGATTTTGTTACAAGAAGGGAACAAAAGGCATTTAAAGTTTCTTCAAGGACAGGGAATATAAATAACTAACAAACTAGGCAATTACCTGGTGCAGACCATTGATTTCAAGCCCTTCCTGATTCCCTCCGACCATCTTGATGACATGTTCTAGGGCAAAATTAAAAATCATTGGAGTTAAAGCATGCTCCTGTTTTAAACTATTGAGCACTGGGAATGGATCCAACAGAAGGTTAAGTGTATGAACTCTACTAGATACCCCATCCATACACATCTTAATTAACCTGACAAGTTTCTTTAGTATTCCATACTCAATCAAAATTTCATACAGCACTTCTCTTCTAACTGAATCATATGCCTTCCTAAAGTTTACAAATAGTTGGTGTAATGATCCATTACACTCAGATTTTTTTTCTAATACAGGCATACCTAGTTTTATTGCACTTTGCTTTATTGTGCTTCACAGATATTGCATTTTTTACATATTGAAGGTTTGTGGCAACCCTGCGTTGAGCAAGTCTATCGGAGCCATTTTTCCAACAGCATGTGCTCACTTCGTGTCTCTGTGTCACATTTTGGTAATTCTCGCATTGTTTTTTAGACATAATGCTATTGCACACTTAATAGACTACAGGCTAATGCAAACATAACTTTCATATGCACTGGGAATCCCAAAAATTCGTGTGACTCGCTTTATAGCATAAGAAGGTTTCTTTTAAGTGTCCTCCATTGTCATGGGGTTTGAAGTTGATACATCTTTTGTACTTCTTTAATTGTAAGTTCTGTTGATGCTTTTATCCTGTAGGTACAGGCATATGATGCAGACGAGGGTGAGAATGCAGCTATTCATTATTCAATTGGACCTCGTGATGAAGATGGCGGTTCAACATCAGAGCTCCCTGTTGCAGTGGATGAACGGAGTGGTTGGATCCATACCACAAGGGAACTTGACAGGGAAGAACAAGCCAGATATCAGTTTCAGGTTAGAATACTGCATAAGTTTGTGGGTTTGAACAAGTTGAGGATCAATATATTTCAGTATTTGTATTATATAAAACTCAGTTTTATATTTGCTTTGGTACATGTTTGGTTGCACTCTTATAGGAGATGTTTAAATGGGCACATATATTGGAGAAAGTGAGTAATGTAGCATATAACATGGATAATATAAAGAGTTCTTAGTAATGATTCTGGATAGCAAAATGGGTGATTTGATAAATCCTGGTACCATTAGGTAACTTACAGAAGTACAGTGTTGGACCCTGTCTGGCATCTCAAGATCCAGATTGATCTTAAAATCTGTTTTTCCCCTGAGATTTTCTATGGTAACATTTCACTATACTTGTCATTTTTAAAACTGGCGATTTGTGGTTCTTTGACTCACCACGTGTGAGTGGCACCACTTTTGATGGTCTTCTTCTGGTAGTAGATGGCAGTTTGCTTGATGCATTTGTTAATCAGCAGATGGCATAAGGTTTGGGCTATTTTGCATTTTTTAGTTGATGAAGATGGTACTACTATGGTTTTTCTGTTTCTCATGAAAACAAATTGTCAACGTTTTGTTGAATTGTGCTAATCATAAAATATGAAAAACCTAAGCTCCTGGGCTTTTCATGTTGGGGTCTGGTACTGTGCTTCAAAGGAAGGATGTAAACTAAAGTAATGGCGATGGAAAAGAAGTATGGTAGGAGGAGGGAAGGAGATGAGTGTGTGAAAGGGGTACAGGGAAGAAAGTAAATAATTCCCCATTGAATTTCAATATACCTTTACCAGTTATAATGTTACATTTAACATGTGTGGAATTACTCGACAACTGATGTTGAATCTGTTTTTTTGTGTTTGCACTGTGTAGAAGTTGACTTGTTGCTGATGTTTCAGAGGACCATACTGCCTCTGTCTTCAGGGCTGAAGCGAGGAAGATTAGGAAATAGCTGGTTTAAAATGGGCTCAGGTCAAGTGAATTGGCGAATCAGAGACAGGGATGAGGAAGGGAAAGATGCAGCCATGTCTGGGCCATTGAGAAAAAGCCCTTTTTCAGCTGTCTCCTCTCCCATCTATTTCTTCAGCCCCACAAAGGGCTCTTTTCCATTGGCCCAGACGTGGATGCATGTCTCCTGTCCTTAGTGTTGGCTTTGATTGGCCAAATCCCATGACTTGAGCCCAATATAAACCATTTACTCCTGACCCATCTCATGTCAGGTTCAACATTAATGATGAATTGCCACGAAAGCTTAAAATTAGTTATTGCATGAACACTGGTTCCTTAACCCACGAGCGTTGTTCCACGTGTATATACACGGGCATTTAAATTGCCCTATCTGCGGTTCTACGTGCAAACCTTTGTTGAATTTCTACAAGTGAAACTATAATGCAGGAACTAAGTTTTGTTTTGTCCACATACAATATTACTGTAGTCTGTTTGTGGGAATCTTGGGATTATATAGGCAAGATGGTCATCTGCAATCTGTCAAAGAAGTATTGTGTTCATTGTAGTTAAATACAATATATTTTTGTCGTCTAGTGATGTTTAAACCAGGCTGCTGTTGTGCAGAAACACCGTCTCACTGGGAGCTTACAATCTTGAAATATCAAATTAAATAATAAATGAACAACAGGCATATATCATATCCAGAACTTCATGTGTGTGAGAAAGGACAGTATTGATGCCTGATATCAGTATTTCTAAATCTCATTGCAATCAAATGAACTTGTGGAAGTGAAAGTGATATTTCTGTTGATAAGGAAATGTTAATACTTATACATTTTGGTTCCTGCAAATTACAGGTGTTGGCAGTTGATGGAGGCAAGCCTCCGAAAAGTGCGACAGCAAACGTAGTGATCACTGTTCAGGATGTGAATGATAATGACCCAGTGTTTGAACCCAAACTGTATGAGGCTGTGGTTTCAGAAGATGATCCTCCAGGCACTCCAGTTGCAAGTGTTTCAGCAACTGATAGAGATGAGAATCCAAGGTACTTTAGTTTATGCAGCACTCACTTAAAAAGCTTATTCTTTTCCATATTAGTTACTTTGTCTCACTCATATATTCTGTGTTGATTGTTTTGAGTCCTGTTGATAGAAACCTTGTAATTTTGTAGCACTTAAATTAGCGCCTGTTTCCTTTCTTAAAAATAACCCTTATAAATGACACCTTAGTATTTTGGTGTATTGACTAATGTTGGTCAGATGTATAATGTTGGGCTTGAATTTTGTTGAGAAGTTTCAATATGAATTGAATCTGACTGATTGACTGACTCTATGGCGCAACAGCGCAAAGCCGAGTCTTGGCCTCCTCCCATGTGGGACGTTTCTTAGTCTTTGAAGTATGCATTTGTGAATAGTGAGTGACCAGCCCACTGCCTCTGCACAATTTTTACTGACTGCTGGAGCCATCTAGAAGGAATCAGGAGAAACTTGGGTGAGAAATGGCTGCTGAATTTTGCTTACGAAACACCTCGTTCATGCTCATAAGGTTATTTTAAATGCCTTAAATCTACAACATGGAACCGCTAGCTTTACTTCCCCTCTGAAGGAAGTTGTGCTATGGATTTTTTAACACCCTTAAAAATCCATCAACCTTGGCCAAGTTTGAACTTGTGAACCTTGGGTCCAGTGGCAAGGATGCTAACCACTAGTCCACCGAGGGTGACTATAAATTCATTCTAGATCAGTAAATTGAATATGATAATGAAAACTTGAATTTGTTATCAGATTTTCTTGCAGTTCCCATAATTCATAATGATTCAGTTGATATTTACTCTATTTTATTTGACTAACACCATAGTTGTTTGAACATCATATAGTGTACCTTACTTTAGATGGATGGCATTTCATGAGCTTGAAACTGTTTGAGAGCTGAATAATGTAAAATGACTGGCCTCTTAACTCAAACCTGTTATTATGTAGTCTCTTTTCTCTTGTCTACTAGGTTACACTATGAACTGACTGAAGGCAATGTACGTGCAAGATTTGCAGTCACATCACAGAATGGGCATGGTCTTGTAACAATTGCTCAGCCACTGGACTACAAGCAAGAGAAGCGTTTTGTCCTAACGATCACAGCTTCAGACTCTGGAGGTCGCCATGACACAGCTACCTTATATGTGAATGTATCAGATGCCAATAACTATGCACCAGTATTTGAATCTGCTCCATACTCAGCATCTGTGTTTGAGGATGCTCCAGTATGTATCGATGATAACTAATAAGCTAGAAGTTATAAGAGTGAACATGTAATGTTCTATTCTTTCACCAAGATGTATGCTATGGTGGTTGCCTGTTTTCATATTTAAGGAATAATTCCAGAGGTTAACTATATTGGCTGAACTTTCTTCTGCGTAGAAGAGAGAAAATACAAAACTACTACCAGCATATCAGAAAAAAACTTTTTGTCTTCTTCATTATGGCTAAAATTGTGTGAGCTGGTAATATAGGGATGTGTAGGTCTGAATAAAGCATTCCTTATGGCATGATTTGTCAGAGATAGTAGCAAATCATTGAATGATTCAGAAGTCTTGAAACCTCGGTTACCCGTCCAGGTTTGTGCCACTTTGACCCTCAAGAAAGAGGCAGCAGGTATCTGCAAAATGTTGGTGGTATTTGTAATTTTTTTGTGAACATTAATCATTGTGAAAATTGTGTCAGGTAGCATTAATACTTATATAAAGTGACATATCTGTCAACTTCCTTGCTGACTGGCTGGTGGAGGGTCTTCCTTGAGACATCTGTACACATTCTGCTATTAAAGGAATAACCAAGTTCTGAAGTTTATCACCATTAAGATCTAATCCTCAGGATATTGCATCATTATAACCTGTTTGATAAAGATCCTGTTATTATTTTGCCTCTTATATCTCAAATGATCTCTTGCAGTAAGGTTTTTGTACTGAAGTATCGTATGTTTCATAGTTCAGCCATTAATGCTACATGCATAACCCATCTTCTGTGCACATTGAACAATATTCCAAAGTATATAAAATGGATTATGTACATGCATAACCCATCTTCTGTGCACACATTGAACAATATTCCAAAGTATATGATTCATAATCCATTTTCATGACACTGTCACTTTCTGTATGCAGATAAAGGTTGCTAGGTGTGTTACTTAGTTGAAATCAGTATTTACATTTTAATAAATTAGAAAAGAATTATAATCATACATTTTTCTGTGATAAATGTAAGAAATATGGTTGGTTATGAGGTGTGCTTAGTGAGGACTATAAGAAAGGATTTGTGTAATTATTTATTAGTAAAATATCATAAGAATTGCTAGTCAGTGGTCAGAAAGTGATGACTCTTAGTATCGAACACAGTACTGCCATATGGAAGACGGAGTTTGTAACAGTGAATGTCAAAGGGGTATGAATATTATTTTCTTAAATAATTGTTTCAGGTTGGTACTACTATCCTGGTTGTTGCAGCATCTGATGGGGATGTTGGTCAGAATGCTCAGATAACATATTCTCTTGGAACAGTAGACTCTTCATCAACTCCTGAATTTACCATTAATCCACAGACCGGTGCTATCATTACAACAAAAACCCTTGATCGAGAAACTGTTGGTGGTTACTTGTTAACTGTTACTGCTAGAGATGGTGGCATTCCTCCATTATCAGATACGACAGATGTAGAGATAATCGTTTCTGATGTCAATGACAATGCTCCGGAATTTCGTAAACCTTCATATGTTGGATCAGTTCCTGAAGATGCTTTGGTTGGCACTAGTGTTGTGCAGATATCTGCTACTGATGCTGATATGGGCCTTAATGGAAGAATTCGCTATGCTTTGGCTGTTGAGAGTTCTGGTGATGGAAGTTTTGTTGTGGACCCAACATCTGGAGTGATAAGGACAGCAAAAATATTGGATCGTGAGAGTGTAGCTGTATATGATCTAATAGCTTATGCAATTGATAGAGGGTCACCAAGTTTAAGTGGGTCGGTAGAAGTCAGAGTGAAAGTTGAGGATGTGAATGATTCACCTCCAGCATTTGACAGTGATAAAATTGTGATGTACATCGCTGAGAACTCGCCAGTTGGATCAACAGTTGGGGAAATTCATGCACGTGATCCTGATGAAGGACCTAATGCAGTGGTGCAGTATTCTATCATCGGTGAGTCTCATAATGAGAATAGCAAGGACCAGGTGACTGCACTTAGGGTAGAATGGCAGGAGATTATACATTTTTTGATACCATATATAAAACTATTTTTAAAGTTTTAATTGTTAGGCTCCTATTAGTTACTACAGTCAGTCCAGTTCTGTACCTTATGAGCTGTGGCTTGCTTTATGACTCACATTTATGCTAAAAAAGCAAAATGGTGGAATGAAACTTGTGAAGTGGCTGACGGGTGTATATGTTGAACTTGAGGATGTGTTACACACCACAAGCCACAGAAGTTGGGTTAATGGCAGTTGGCTTTGGTGGTGTTTAACTGGGGGATTTCCTTTGAAGTTACATAGGAAATATCTGTTCTGAGGCTTTCATGGGTATAATGCAAGGGTGGCATTATATAGAAGAGTGCTGTATCAGTGTTTGTATTTGGAAGTTTATATGAATGATAGTTTCCTCTTTTGTTACATATCATATGGTGGTTTTTGACAGATAAATACAATTTTTTAGCCATGGTGAATAAATGGCAATACTTTCCAGGATTCTGAATATTTCAGTTTGTAACTAAAAATATAAGAATCCTTTTTCTTGTGTTAACTGCTGGTACAGTTGACATTGTATGTTTGTATATTTATTGAATTTGCTGTATTTTTATGTGCTTCAGTTTATATTATATGTTAGGTAAAAAATTAAATTTTGGGATTCACAAACTTGTTAATTTTATTTGGGGTAAGGAAGTATTGCTAAAGCAGAGCAAGCAATCTGTGATTACATTTATCTAAGAATTAGAAGACATGTTCATAAGTGGGCTGGGGTTATATTGAAGTAGATCTTAAAGAAATAGGGTATGGTGGTGCTGTGGACTGGATGCATCTGGCTCATGATTTGGTTCAGTAGAAGGCTCTTGGGAACTTTATAATAAAGGATTATGTTCCATAAAAGACTATAGAATTATTTATGTGTATTCTTATGTTACCTTGGTGAACAACAGTTTTAGGTCTTAGCAAAATTATGTAGCCATGAGTCAGGTTGTAATTACAGCTATCTTGTAAGTAAATTTGTTAGTCCATGTGGCACACAAACACAATGTTCTCAACTTTCTGAGTTCCCTTCAGTCTCTTTTGTTTATAGTTTATTGTATTATGCATCCATTTTTACTTTTTTATGTTCTTGAAGTGATGACAAACAAGACGAGAATCATTAAGTCTTAAAGGCAACAAATTATACCATCACCATTTTATTCATTATACCTATATACAACCCAGACTTTGGTGGAACAGTTTTATCAACAAATTAAAAAAAGTGTTTAGTATGTTTCTGCCAAACACTGTTCATATTTTATTGTTTGATTTCTTTCTATGTATTTTGTTTAATTTTCTGTAGGTGGTGATGACAGCAACAGTTTCTCGCTTGTAACTCGGCCAGGAAGTGACAAAGCTGAACTTGTGACCATGGTGGATCTTGATTATGAATCCTCTCACAAAAAATATGATCTGGTAGTAAGAGCTGCTTCACCACCACTCAGAACTGATGCCCATGTGGAGATTCTAGTGACAGATGTGAATGACAATGCTCCATCACTTCGTGACTTTCAGGTAACAAAACATCTTTTGAAATTGTTTATTTAATACAGTGGATTCCAGTTAATTGGGACACATCATGACTTTGGCACAATTAAGCAGCTGCCCCAATTATGTGAAGTCGCACGTAAAAAGTTAAAAAGGTTTGTTCTTTAAGATTTGTCCCAAATAAATGGCTGCCCCAATTAACTGATGGCCCAATTAACTGGAATCTACTGTATTTCAAGAACAGCATGAAATTATGACAGCATATTTAATTAATTTTAAAGGTTGGTGATTTGGTGTGCATAATTATGATATAGGTTTATCTAGGTTTATTATGTTTCATTCTGGCCTTTGTTATGGCATTTCATTAATGAAGTATCTTGAGGCAGTTAAAAACCAGAGGGAAGACATGGTATTAATACATTGCATACAAGTCTGTAATTGTCATTATTTCCATGCCATTCATCTCGGACTAGTTGTGAGAATTACTATGGAAGATACTTTGTGTGACTTCTATCATTTCTGTCTACTTCTAGATGAATTTGTGGTGTATATAGTAGCTAAAGATTATTTTATTTTCTCTTGCTTTTCTTATGTTGGCACATCATTTAATGCTATTCTGTTGTCATTTAAGAGACTTTCCTTGCAACTTTGTAAATCCCTATCATATTTCATTATGGTTGGGAACAACAAAGGGAATCATCGACAGTCTTCTTGACCATAAATGTGATGTTTTGAATGAATTGTATTAAAAATGTATACTTGACTGTCTTAGTGAGGGTAGCTGTGACAGTTCAAAAATGGCAGAGACAAAGTTTCATGTCAAGAAGGCTTTTACAGTACAGAAGAGTTTTTGACAGAAATGATTGATGAAACATTCGTATTTCTCCAGACTTAGAGTTTTTGAAGGTAGATGTTAGGAGAGGAGAATTGAGAAGGCCATGGACCGATTATGGACCGGAGAGCCATAAAAGAAGAAGAAGGTTGTACTGTACCAAATGATTGATGTGCATGGAGGAGGTTATGGGTATGATCTCTGGCAATGTGCTGTTTGAAACATTATGTGAAGGGAAAAACTGGTAATATCTACACAGATATTTAAACTGTAAAATTTTTAAGTGGATGGGTTGTCACACTGTATGAGTTTAAAATGATTACTGATCTACAATATTTGTTCTTAGGTACATGAATAAAGAGCTGCTTTCAAAGATACTGTACTCTCAGAGGTGCTGGGTGCTTATATGAACATTGTGTACATATTTTATATAAACTGTTGAAGCGTCTATGTGTATATATATGTGTGTGTGTGTTGTAGGTGCTTAATATTTCAATAGATGAGCTGGCATAGTTCAGTCAGTATAGTGACTGGCTACAGGCTGGACGACCGGGGTTTGATCCCCGACGGAGGCAGAGGATTTTTCCTCTAGCCTCTTCATCCAGATTGGCTCTGTGGCCCATCCAACCTCCATCCAATGGGTCTTTTCCCAGGGATAAAGTACGGCTGGGGTGTGATGCTGAACACTCACCCCATCTAGTGCTCAGGTTAAGAATGAGTAGGAGCTATACTGGCTCTACCCCCCAAGCACCTACGTGGCGTCTAGTGGGACACCTTTACTTTACTTTACTTATATTTCAATAGTGTAATTAAATGCCCAGAAATTGAAAGTGGCAATGGGCAATTTCATTCCACTCTTATACTGATAAGAGTGGAATGAAATTCTGTTGTTCAGCATTTTAATATATTTTGTTCTGTCTCTTGCTCTCTTGCAGGTGATATTCAATAACTTCCGTGACTGTTTTCCTTCTGGACCAGTTGGACGTATCCCCGCTTTTGATGCAGATGTGTCAGATCAGTTACACTACAGGATACTCTCGGGCAATAATGCAAATCTTGTTCATCTGAATTCTAGTTCAGGAGAAATAATGTTGTCTCCTCAACTCAATACAAATGTTCCAAAACTGGCAACCATGGAAGTATCTGTCACAGGTAAGTACGTAATGTTAAGAATTATGTGTAAATGATCAAGAACAAATATCATAGTTGCATGTGTATAGGTTGCACCTATATTTTTGGGTCAAGAATTTGGAATAAATAATATCTCATAAGTACACCACACTAGATTTTACCTAGATTCTCTAAGCTTGGTCATCTATTTTGCAAAGTATGATTGTGGAAGCTTTAAAGTTAATGGTATCTCTAACAAGATGGATTGGAGTGAGGTTGATTTTTTTGTGGTATCAGTCCGACAAAGAAAGCCACCAAGAGGACCTGACTTATAATGAAGAAGTGTAGATACAGTAGATTCTGGTTTGGCCATTGTTTAATCATGGCAGCCATTAATTTGGGACAAATCTTAGAGAACAAACTTTTTTAACTCTTTATGTGGAACTTTGCATAATTGGGTCAAAGTGTTCTAGTCCCGATGTGTCCCAATTAACCAGAAAACACTGTAGTGAAGTAACGTACTTCAGTTAAGAGCAGCTAATTATAATGTCATTGTCATGTTTTTTTACTAAAGTAATTTTTTTGTTTGTTTATATGACTAATTTTAGAGAGAAAGTGTTACCAGTGAATAACAACAGTGCGTCAATTCTTGGCAAATTCATTTTTACATTTTCATTTCTCTGAAGCACTAACAGTCTCTACTGTGGGTTTCACAACATATAATACCAGCATAGCAGGCTTAGTCTTCTACAGAATAATATTTTTTTTAGGATCTAGTTTTTATGTATAAACTACACCCCAGTCAAAGAAGTATGGCTTATACACATGCAGATATGGTATGTTCACTGTTACTTTCTACATGAAACTGGATATACTAAGTGAAATGCAGAACATTGTAATTAAATAAAATGATATTTAATGAAACATTTATAGTACATTTAAGGCTTTTGTGTGGTTTGGTGCTAATGTGGAACCTAATTCTGGATGATGGTGATATACAAGTGCACTCATCGACTGTGTTGCCAGCACTTCAGATATCCATATTGTTATCGTCTTTTGGGAAAAACAGTATGTACATTGCAGTGTACTTTGTCACAAATTTTATTTTATTTCCAATTTAAAACATTTGTACATTTTTATAGATGGTGTAAATGAAGTGAAGGCACTGATGCAGTTGACAGTTCGTCTGGTCACGGAGGAGATGCTTTTCAACTCTATCACAATTCGTCTAGATGACATGACAGAGGAGGCTTTCCTTTCTCCGCTATTGACATTTTTTATTGAAGGCTTGGCAGCCATCATACCATGCCCAAAAGATAGCATTTTTGTCTTCAGCATACAGGTGAGCAAGACTGTGTAGTTTTTGAAGCTATCTTTAGTTTGCAGTGTTCCTCCATTGGTTTCTGTCTTTATTTTTTCCTTCGTTAAAGTACAGTAAAGTGCCATGTAGGTCATTTGGGGGGGTGGGAGAGGAGGTATAGCTCCTCTCTTCCTTGACCTCGGCACTAGATGGGGGTGAGTGGTCAGCATCACGCCCGGCCGCACTTTACTCCCGGGAAAGGACCCCAATACCCATTGGGTAGGAGGCTGAGTGGGCCCCAGAGCCAGTCTGGAGGCCGAGGCTAGAGGAAAAATTCTCTGCCCCCGTTGGGGGTCGAACCCCAGTCATCCAGCCCATAGCTAGTCACTATACTGACTGAGCTATCCCGGCTCCAAAACAAATAGCATTATTAACTGAAACTTCTGGAAAGAAATGCTATTAGAAGCGTGGTTGGGCGACATAACAGGTTACCGCTACTGTTTATTCCAAAAACATTGTGCGTCTTTCGGAATTAAATTCTAAAAATATCACGTAAATTTCGTTACAATTTCTCAGAAACGATCATTGCGGGAAAATTGTTGGCCGGGACTAAGATTTTTGAACGATCGATGCGATAAAACGATAGTTCGAGGAACGATAGAAGCGGGAAAATGTAACATTATTTTATATGGGATGTATTCGGGACCGAACAAAACGGACGATGCATCCGGGAAAACGATAGTTCCGGGAACGATGGATAGAGGTTTCACTGTAGTGGCAAATGTTTATTGGTTTGATTAGCATGAGATCATGTACTAATATTTAATGTGTGGGAGTAATCATTTCCATGAAATTTGGGTGAATTTATGCCTTTTTGATGTATTTTTTTCTGACTTCAGGATGACACTGATGTTAATGCCAAAATACTGAATGTGAGTTTCTCTGCTCGAAGGCCGGATTTGAATGAGGGGGAATTCTATTCTCCACAGTTCCTTCAAGAGAGGGTATACCTTAACAGAGCAATTCTAGCAAGACTGTCAACTGTGCAGGTAAATGAGTTATATTGTTTTTTTTTATTGATTCATTACCTTGCTTGTTGATCAGTAATGGATAACAGTAATAACAAAGTAACAAACTCATTTTTAATGATGAAAAAGTAGTGGCTGTTTTAAGGCTTTTAGAATATTGCAATGTTAAGGTTTTCGTTTTATTAATTTTTAACACCTTTCTGTTTTGTTAAAAGATTATTTATGATTGGTATAATATTTTTGCTTTAAATTTCAAAATTCAGAAGTTTTGTATTTTGTGGTATAGCTCAAAGGAAGTAAAGCTGGTTGAATTAGAAATTTAAATCTATTGTTTCGGTTCAATTTTCAATCACAGAAAGAAGGAAAAAGTGTACAAATTAAAGAAATTGGTGGACCTGTATATTGTGCGTGTTGTTTTTATGCAGGTGTTACCATTTGATGACAATCTGTGTGTTAGAGAGCCATGTCTCAACTATGAAGAATGTCTCACAGTACTGAAGTTTGGCAATGCATCAGGATTTATTTCCAGTGATACAGTCCTTTTTCGACCCATTTATCCTGTCACAACATTTGCCTGCAGATGTCCTAAAGGATTCACAGGTTAGTTACTTTATTCAGAGCATGGCCATTTAAAACTATAACAAAATATATGCATATAAGAAAGCTGTCTATAGCACTCTATTCATGTAACCAACCTCTCTATAACAGGACCTTCATATAGCAGAATTCGAAATTGTACAAAATACACTTGTTCTTCTTTATTGTCTACTTCTGTTCCTCTCTGCTTCACCTCTGCCCTCCTCCTAATTCTGTTGCCATTTTGTGCTATTAGATCTTCCATTTGTTTCAAGTAACCAAGCCATTTAATACCAGATTTTTAATGCACCGTTTAAACAAACTGCTCCCTGTTGCTTTTATGTTATGTGTTTCCCAGCCTGTTTATGATTAAGGAAATGCACAAAAACCTGTCAGGAACATTGGTCTTGGGCCAAGAATCAAATCAGGATCTCAGACTCGGCAGAGGAAGTTTGAAAGTTTCCAGCGGTGTATTATAATATGTAAAATTCTTCTTTCGGACTTTGTCATTTGTTCGCATAATGAAATTATAAAACTACAACATTTTGGAAACTGGATTCTGCTTCTGTCTTCAGCTGGAGGGGCAGAATGCCTATCTGTTGGGCTGCCTGGTTGAGCTAACCTCAGATGTGGACCTCTTGGCCAACAATCAACCGCACCTTGTCACTCTTGACTTACAACTTGCCACCAGACACCTTACACTGAATTGATTGGCTGCTGTGGGGTCTATAGGTCCCATAACTGTTTTACGCGGGAAAACGATAGATGCGGGAAAGCATTAAAAATTTTAAAAAAAACAATGTTTCTCTTTCAAAGTTACTTCTTTTTACCAAAAAAGTCTTTAATGGACAACTGGTTTGTCGAAACTTTACGTTTTAGACCAAACAGAGTACTTTCCACGTTCAAAATGTTTTCCTCGTCACGTTCGCTAATATTATGGGCATAAAAGAACGACTTCACTTTTGCCAATGCAGCGTGTGCTTCGGCAAAACTCGGCACAGCTTCGGGCTCGCATTCGTCGTCTTCCTCACCGCTCCCACCCCCTTCGCGATCGTCACACAACTTATCAATCGTGTCGACTCCGCATGTATTTAGCAAGCTCGCTGTCCACTGCCGCGTAGTCACCAAATTTAACCACGTCTTTCACGGCGCCAAATCTATTCCAGTCTTCGTGAAAGCCATCATGCTCATCCACACTGACGTTAGAGTCTGCTTCTGTGCGAAGTTCACACCCGTAGCCACCTTTGTGAAAACAATTCAGAACAGTTGGTTGGGAGACATGCCGCCAAGCTGCCACTGTGAAATGAATTGCTTGTAGCACGTCAATTTTCATGTTGACATCCTTCCCAGCATCCAATGCACATACAGCTGTTTGCATAAGGCGCTTTCTATACAACTGCTTGAAAGATTTTATGATGCCCAAATCAAGCGGTTGCAAGACGCTCGTGCAATTTGCTGGATACTGCACGACTTTCACATTTCGTAGAAATGTCGTGTCCTTCGGATGAGCGGCACAATTATCAACAAACAGCAAAATCTTTCTGCCTTGTGCGCCCATGGAGGCATCCAGAGAACTTAAAAACGCCGTAAAGATGTCTGTTGTCATCCAAGCCTTTTTGTTGGCGTGATATTTCACCGGAAGTTTTTTCATGTTTTTGAAACAACGCGGTTTTCGTGATTTTCCAACTACAATCGGAACCCGTTTGTCACTACCGTCACTGTTAACACACAGAAGAACAGTAATTCGGTGTTTTGCACGTATTCCCCCGTGGCAAGATTCACCTTTCAATGCCAGAGTCCTATCCGGGAGGGCGTTGTAGAAAAGTCCGGTCTCATCCGCATTATAAATGTCCCGCGGCTCATATCCCTCCAGCAGTGTTGGCAGTCTCTCGAGCCACAGCTCCGTTATTTCCACATCCACAGCAGCACTTTCGCCTTTCCTTTGTACTTGTAATAAAAGCATTTGTGAAGAAATTCACACTGCACATGCCATCTGGCATCGCTGGAACGAAATATGAGTGCACCCTAATTAAAATCGTAAAATTTCTGACAATGGGCACCGCCATTCACTCCAACTATCACCCCTGCACCGCTGACCCTCATTCCAAAAGAATGTGCTGGTTGGGCGACATAACAGGTTACCGCTACTGTTTATTCCAAAAACATTGTGCGTCTTTCGGTATTAATTTATCTCTAAACCCAGCATTTTAAATTCTCAGGAACGATCATTGCGGGAAAATTGTGGGCCGGGACTACGATTTTTGAACGATCGATGCGATAAAACGATAGTTCGAGGAACGATAGAAGCGGGAAAATGTAACATTATTTTATATGGGATGTATTCGGGACCGAACAAAACGGACGATGCATCCGGGAAAACGATAGTTCCGGGAACGATGGATAGAGGTTTCACTGTATTGAGTTTTCTCATGCTGATGCTGGAACTCTTTACTTCATAGGTTATATAAAGTTCATACATAATTTTCTTGTTGCTTTTAACATCTTTGTTATAGGCTAGTGTATGATAGTTGACATTTTGTGAATACATGGTGTTAAATGTTTAAAAGTAAAACCACATGACATTACTTATGTCAGAAATGATTAGGCACCAAATACAACATTGAAGCCGTGAATATGTAAGTCATTAGATGGCACTAAAATTTTCCTTTTCTGTTGCCTTTTCAAGTCCATTATGACGACCAGTTGTGTGCTAGTAATCTGTTTTGGGTATTGTTCATACCACCAACAAACCAAAAGTATTCCTTATCCGGTCCATGGCATCTGATTTAATAATTTAACGCTCACAGGCTTCCATTCTTATTTAGAAGAACCACCACTTATAAGACATCAGTGCTTAATTAGTTACCGATGAATCTGTTCATTATTTTGTAGGGAGGAACTGTGAGATAGACATGAACCTGGACACTTGCCAACCTGGAATATGCCGTTCTCATTCCACATGCTCTCCCCTTGTGAAAGGAGGATTCCTATGTGAAAATTGTTCTCCTAGTGGTGGTTCTGAGCACTACACGAAACTCTGTGAACTTCGGAGCAGAAGTTTCTCCAAGGCTTCATTTTTGACTTTCCCATCCTTAAGACAGCGTCATCGCCTGCACATTAAATTGAGGTATGACAGTAATTATTAGTTACAAATCACTGCCAGATCTAATTGTGACTTACAGCTGCCTGTAAGGTATTCATGTATATAATTGAATACAACGTGTAAAATAATTGCTTTTGAACTACAAGAAATTATTGTAAGTGTTGTGTGTGCTCAGTACATGTCATTTATGAATAGAAAATATTAATATACTATGCTTCAGTACATTGATTTTAAAGTCATTATGTTTGGAACTAAAGCAAGAATTGTAAAATGAAGTGAAATATTTTAAGAGGTCTGCCGATGTATCTTCTTCCCACCAGTTAATACTTTTACGTTTTTATTTCTTCAATGTAGTTCTTTTCTGTTTTTTTTGATAGTGTAAAAATGAATTATTGTTGAAATGTTTAATATTGTCATTATGTTTTCATTCCATTTGTACCAAAATAGGATGTATCTTGCCGTGTATCAAAATGCATTTTAGATGCTATTTTCCCTGTCTCTCTGTGGCTTAACATTCACTGCTGTATGAAGTTCTTGATTAGCTAGTGCTTTATAAATGCAAGTTCTTGTATGTTTCAAACTAAAGATGATTTTAAAGCTTTATCAAAGAATTTTGATATAACTGACAGTTTCACATCCAAGTATTTTTCTTTCATTAGATAATTAAACATATCAACTATTTCTAATATTCTGTTCATAATGAGAACTTCTATTTAGTTGACCCTGAAATGCCAGAATTTAAAATTTTAAGGGTTCTTTATGTAAGCAGAGAACCTTATGGGCCCATTCATGCCTGTCTTTCACATCTTTCAGATAGCCTCCACTGAGGCTGCACCCTAGGAAATTAACTCATGGGCTTGCACTCCCAGGGTTTTTACTACCCTCCTTGCTCCTCTTATCTTAGCCCCTACCCATGCTTATGTCTCACAGCGTGCCAACCTCCAGGCTTACACTCCAGTGTCTTGCCCCCTCAAGCTTTCATATATGTGGCTTGGACACCCCTAGGTTTGCACTCTTTTTGGTTAGACCACCGTGAACTTGCCACAGCTGGAACTGTCTGTAAAGGGATTTGCCTCCGAGGAGCTAGGTCACACCATCTATCACTGGTAATATGACATCCTTTGAAAGACCAGTGATGTGATCTTGATGCTGTCTTATATCAGTGGTTGTATGAGTTATTAACTAACTGACTTTATGGAACAGAGTCCATCTTTTTTTTTTATATCTTAATTGCGTCATGTTTGTGTTTATTAATACAATAATTTATTTACCGTCTTTACACAAACTTAAAAATGTTGTTAAAATTGCTTGCAAGAAGTGCAACAGATTTTAATTGATAGACCTGATGATGATGAGATAACATCGAAACATGTCGTCAAATGTAAAATGTAACAAGATCTAGTACCTAATGAAAAAATGTTATAATTTTAAGCAATTTTAACAACATTTTTAAGTTTGTGTAAAGACGGTAAATAAATTATTGTATTGGAAGAGTCCATCTTGTGAAGCTGATACACTCAGCTACTTAAGAAATTCCCTGCCTTTTATGGGACATAGAGGTTCTGCACAGCTGAGTCAGCCTGCTATGAGGTCTCAATCCATAAATATTTGAAAATATATTATTAGTATGACTAATTACTTACCTGGTGTCCTACGTGAGCGATTAAATGCGAGCGGTGCGAGTTGCGTGGGTGAAGCGGAAATATCAAACTGGCTGTTTGTGTGGCGCTGTCCTATGTTACAGCGAAGCGGTCAGCGGCCAAAGCCGAGATCAAATATTTTGATATTTTCACGCAGGTTGCTGCACTGGCCAGTAAGGCGCATGCGCAGAAAAGCTCTGACTTTGCAGTACAGGGAAGGTGCATGCGCAGAAAGACCGTGTGCTTCTATTACGGTCTCTCACATAGGACACAACAAGCGATTCCCTTATGTCATATGACACCCCATTCTGCTTATGCAGCTCGCACAGCTCGCTTCTTATCGCTTACATAGGACATTGCCTTAGTGAGGATCAAAGAGTTAGTTTTGTTATTGCTTATATACATTACATTTATGGGATATAATGCAGTGTCATCAGGGAATTGTATATACAGTATTTGAGTCTGTGTCCTTTTATTTATTATGTACTAACTTCTGTATACAACTGTTTAGGTTTGCCACTCAGTCTGACTCTGGGTTGCTCCTTTACAATGGCCGTTATAATGAGAAACACGACTTCATCGCACTGGAGATTGTTGGTGGTGCTATACGCTTCTCGTTTTCTCTCGGGTCCAATGTCACTACTACAGTGGCTTCACTGCCGGGCAGAGTGAGTGATGGGAACTGGCATTCCGTCACTGTGCATTACTTCAATAAGGTTAGAGAAATTACATTTAAGTCCCTTTTACAGCAAATGGTGACTTATAATACTGTATTAACTACATTGATTTTTTATTTTAAGTATCTTGACAGTGATGTTCCATGTGTGATGTTGATTATCGGCCACTGCGCAAAGAGTTACCATCTAGTAACATGAAATAATTATGTGATGAAGTAGCTGGAATATTATGCTGTTAAAAGTTAAAAATGCAATAGCTGGGAATGATTTGGCTTCAAATTTTTAATTGAAATTGCTTCCTTACAGAGTGCAACAGTGAGTATTGATGATTGTGATACAGCGCTGGCAACAAAATATGGACCCCAGCTTGGTTCTGAGTGGGCATGTGCCAATACAAGCGTACAGGTTCTTGAGAGCAGGTATGCATATATGATATGTTTAAAATACATTATGCATTTACCATTTGTTATAAGTGGTAAGTTGCACATTATTTACTGAAATGAGCTGCCTTAAATCTTCATTTGTCTTATAGTCTAAAAGTATAGCAGGTTTTCTTACTTGAAAAATTTTCCTGTAAAATCTGGATACATTTTATGGTTTGAAAAATTTGAAATTTTGATTGAAAATTCTTAAGTTTATCGAACTGTTATATAAATGCAGAATCACAGTTCAAAGGAGATGCTAATAATGAATTTTAGTAAAGTCTGTAAAGGCAAAAATAGTAGATTCATGCTTGAGGCACATGAGTCCATTTCTTCATTCAGTGTATTTAATCTCTCCTCTCTGAGATGAATGTACTGAAACTTTTGAAACTGGATACCATGTGGTGTGTATTATCTGATCTTAATTTCCTTTCTAAGAATGTATCTACTATGTATGATTTGAGGTTTTCACAGCAGTGAGCCCAAAGATTGCTGTTTCATAGGTTAATGCACCATGTACTGTGGTATATTTCCACCAACGTTTCAGAGGCCATACTGCCTCCGTCATCAGGGCGATGAATTCAGTGTTGGTGGAAATCTACTTGACTACATGGAACAATAACCCAGGAGACAGCAATCTTCAATGTATCTACTGTCTTTACAGATGTGCAGTATTCACCGAGACCTGCCACAGGTTCCTTGACCTCACAGGACCATTACAGATTGGGGGCCTTCCTTCTTTACCTACTAATTTTCAGGTCCATACTAAGGACTTTGTGGGCTGCATCAGTGACCTGTATATAGATTTCAGGTTCATTGATCTTAATAGGTAATAACAGAAAACAAGCATAAATCTTAAATTATTAATTTAGTCTTATTGTCTTTCACTGTAGTGAAATTTCTTTTGTAATGAATATAATTTGCCATTCCAAAAAAGTTCATTGTACTGTTTTACTATAGTGAGTTGTTACTCTAATAAAAAATGTTCACATATCTATTGAATCATATATTTTATCTGCTTTTGCTTACTTTTTTTAAAGTTCCACATACATATTAAAAATGTTCCCACATTTATATTAAGAATGGTAGTAGGAAAGAAATATGTGCCAGTTTGGTTGTAAATTATCCACTGTAAGGGATTTTTATAAGAGGGTTAAAAGAAATATGTCTTTCACTTTCTGTGTTTGTTTTGTGGTTTGGCAGCAATGTTAAAACAAAAATAATCTGTGTCAGTAGTTGCACTGGTGTTTGTAATGAAAATAAATTTATAACACATTTCCATGTGCTTGAAATAGTATGTAATAATAGTTTGATTCTTTTGGGCAGTTATGTTGCTGATAATGGAACTGTAGCAGGTTGCCCTGAGAAGAAGGGTTTTTGTTTGTCCAATCCTTGTAGTCATGGCGCAACATGCACAGAAGGCTGGGGAACCTACCTGTGCGAATGTTTGGAAGGCTGGAGTGACAAGGATTGTAGCCAAGGTAAAAACTACATGGTTTGCAGTTTTAGGAAGTTATTCATGAGATTTTGTTTAGTTTCTTGGGTGTTTCCAGGAATTCACAACTCTCAAAGTAAAAGTATAATACTCAGTAGCCTCGGAAGCACAAATGCAGACTACAAAATGAAAAGCAGAATGTATAATTATGTGATTTGGCAATGTATATGAATAACTAACTGCATAAAGCGGTGTCATCCTTGAGATGCTTATGGTTGCTCAGCTAGTGAAGCAATTCTCTGTTTTTTATGGAACCTGAAGATTTATTTCCATGTTCACAAGATCCCACATATGAACAAAAATGGCAAACTTACATTCCTCTTCTTATATGGATTTCAATTCTGAATTAGGAATGAATCGATCTTCTCAGAACATGGGTCTTATTGGAAAATACAAAGCTCATTGCAAGATAATTTGAAGTTTCAGTACCCAGTGAATAAATTATTTTTCTATCGCTTGTAAATTTTTCATTTAATTGGGAATTAAATTAATTAATATATATGGCAGTTTAAAACTACACATTATAAATATACTTGTCTTTTGTCATGTCTTAAATGTCTGTCTTGATAGTGGAGAATACTACTCCTAATTAGCCTTGCAATTACTGGTTTATATATCTGCTCATTTTTTTAATTGGAATGTTCCATTTAAATTGTGGCTAATGGTTACAGATACTTTGAAACAATGATGTAAATGCAGCAGTGTGTCAGTAAAGCTGATGGATTTTGTTGATGGTGAGATGGATATTCTAAAGTTACAGATGAGGTTTATTCAGAAACCTATAACTGGATTCATATGTCTGAACTTTGGATTCATATTATTTACTCGTCATTTTTATTGTATTGCCATATTTCAGGGACATTGTTCAGAAGAGTCACTGGGATAGGTTCACTACTCTGAACTGTTGTTCATGCTAGTAGGTGTAACAGTGAGGATGGTGCTATAAAAATTGCAGTGACATTTGCTTGTAAGATCCCTGAATTTGTTGAAGGTTGATGGAGACAGTGTTCTTGATTCTGATAACTGTAAATTCACTCCATTAAATGGATTGAACCACTGTTTGAAGACTGGGATGGATCAAGAACATTTAGTTGTTTCCATGTGGTAATTTGAGCCCATCAGTTATCGTGTATCTTGGAAATTCCTATTCCTTTCCCATGACCTTTCTTTGTTGTTAGATATCTATAACTGCATTCTCACTTTACAGAGCATAAGTGTGAGTTCAAGAGAATATTTATTGAAGTAAAAGACATGACGAACAAATTAAAAATGTATGTAACATGCCCCTGCCCTTAAAGGAAGCTATTACAGGCTCATGGTAAAGTAAAGTAAAGTAAAGTTTGTCCCACTATACGCCATGTAGGCGTTTGGGGTGAGTGGAGGTATAGCTCCTCTCTTCCTTGACCTCGGCACTGGATGGGGGTGAGTGGTCAGCATCACGCATCGGCAGGCTTTACCCCCGGGAAAGGACCCCGGTACCCATTGTAGAGGAGGCTGGGGGGGCCCCAGAGACGGTCTGGACGCAGAGGCTAGAGGAAAAATCCTCTGCCCCCGTTGGGGGTCGAACCCCGGGCATCCAGCCCATAGCTAGTCACTATACGAGATTTCGGTGTAGTGCTGTAGCAGTAATGAAATGCAGATTATTCTCCTTCTGCATATCTGTTTATTTATTTGTGGTTATTTTAATGATTATGTGAGTAGTTCAGATTATATAACATAAAATCATAGGATTATTAATGAATTGGAAAGGTCATGGAAGAAGGCAGTCATGGAATAATGATAGGTGCTATCCTGGTATTTGACCAGGGGCACTGAGGGAAACACAGAAAACCTTAGTCAGGTTAGCCAGTTTATGAGCTGAGATTTGAATGCAGGACCTATGGAACAGAAAGCAGGAGTGATGACATTTGTTTTTCCTGGCAAAGTCAGTGTGGTATACTGCTATCTTATCAGGCTTTTTGTTAATAATATTTTTATTTACTGATGTTTGTTGTAATTTTGTCTTGCTTATTTGTGTTCACGGCTCATTTGTGGTGTTATTTTATCAGCAATCAAGCCCCCTTGGCGGTTTCAAGGTGATGGAGTGCTGTCATTCAATCCCTTACTGCGGCCAATTCAGCTTCCATGGCTTAATGCTTTGTCAGTAAGAACTATGCAGAGAGATGCATTTCTTATGAGCATTCAAGTTGGACAGAACAGTTCTGCTGTACTTTCTGTAAGTAAAACTTTGACATCATAATTCAAACCTTGCAGTTTGTTGAAATATACTATACCCTTTGTAGATATATATAAGAGGTAGACGTTGCTGATGGAGGACCAGAAGGTGGACCTTAGATAAGTAGGTTGTGAGGATATAACTGACTAAACTGTCCCAGTGTTAGGTCCAGAGAAAGCCTTTGCATTAATGATAATTACAGTGAATGTTTAGTGTTTCAGGTACTGCTTGTAATAATAACTTTTGAGCGTTTAAAGCATTATCAACCTCATAGTGCTATCTAAAGGACCTGCTCTTTTATTGAATTTTAACTTTTGCGTGTTGTAACAAGTGTTTGTAAAATGTTGCTAAAATAACGGTTTCTGTAAAATGTAGCTGAGGTAGTGGATTCATTGCGTTCCTTCATTTGGAATGATTTTACGTTAATGCCATAGTTTTTAAAGAAGTTTTCATAGTCTTAACAGTTTTAATGAAATTTAATACTTGACTTTTTGTTGAGAAGTAACTAAAATATGGTTCTTCCTGTTTACAAAGAATGATTATTTTCTTATTTATTAACTCTTAACCAGTCCTCAGTCCATTGTATCAAGTTGTATAACATATTTTCACATCATCATGTGTCTTCATAATTATGTATTGATATGTGATCTGTAGCTGGTGAATGGGCAGATACAATATAGCTATAATGGAGAGTCTATGATGCTGCCAAATGGGTTTGTTTCTGATGGACGCTGGCACCACATTGAGGTGAAGTGGATGAGTGGGGAATTGTGGATTAACCTTGATTATGGTCAACGGGAAGCTACATCTCCAGCAACCAATAAGCTTCAGGGATTATATGTTGGCAAGATCCTGATTGGTGGCCCTGATGCATCTGTGGGTAGTTTGAATGCAGATTATGGCTACTTTGAAGGCTGCATACAGGTAAGTACCAAATCTGTTATCAGCCTGCTAAATGGAGCAAAATACAAAATTCACATTGCGAGAGTTTACGTTATGTTATGTTCTTATTTGTTTAATTCCTGTGAAAATATAATGGAAAAATTGAATTTCTTACACTCATTGTACATGCCCTTTCTTTAATGATAGTTATTGTTATTGACAAATTATTATTCTTTATGTTTATACTTTTATTTCCCCCTTGCATAGGAATCTCAAGCTGTTCTATGTGTCCATTCTTGCATGTGATATACCATCCTCCAATCACCTCTCCTCTCTACATCCTTCTTAATTTGCTTTATTCATCATGTGTATGGTTTACCCCAGGGTAAGCTTCCTTTCCAATAATATTTTGGTATTCAGTGCTCATCCATTATTTGAACGTGTTCAAACCATCTCATTCTGATTTCCTGTATTTGGTTCTGTATTTCCCTCATCTTGAAGTCTCCCATAATGTATGTGTTTCTGATCGTCTCTTGTGATTTTTCTCACTATTTCTCTCAGAAATTTCATCTCAGTTATTTGTAGTCAACTTTCCTCATTCTTGCTACATGCCCATGTCTGTGCTCCATGTTAGAATAATATATGTTTAAATACACACTGAATATTGTAATTTTACATTTTCTGTTTTTGTCTTTTTTGCGTAATAAGCTCTTAGCTAAGTCATCAGCTGCCACAAGTATTGGGCCATTGACCTTCCAGGACAGTTGCTCAAGGAAACTTTTCCTTATTAGTCTTGAAGAGTGCATTTGTGAGTAGTGAGTGACCAGCCCACTGCCCCTGCACAATTTATGTTCAATCCTGATTTGTCTACTAGAGCCGTTCACCTTGGCTGGGTTTGAACCCACAAGTCTTGGGTCCAGTGGTGAGCACACTAACCGCTAAGTCGACTGAGGGTGACTTAGCTAAGTGATGAAATTTTAAAGCCTTTCTGTCAGGGCGATGATGGAGGCGTCAAGGACCTCAGGAACGTTGGTAAACTTTTACCAGACTACACGGCGCTACAAACCAGAAGACAGTCTTCTCTTTTCCATTTATTTTCACTGCTGTGTTTTTTCCTCCATTTATCATGTTTTCTGGGAGAAGTAATTGTTTCTGTCATTTCCACATGGACTGAGTATATTTCCCAAAGATAAATTCATACTTCAGACTACAAAAAGAGTGTTTTATCAGTTTTTGTAACATTTTTATCATACTAATTCACTTACATAAATTAACTGTTTATCAGCAGTTTTGTATTTTTCTAGGATTTTTAAGTGCCTTTCTTATTGACTGGGCTACTGTTATGTCAGATTAATCTGTGCCTAATAAAAATACCCACTCAACAACTAACAGTCTCTGTGACATTTTAGTTACTTGAACAGTATTTCAGTTCCCATAAGGATATCCAGTTCACGGGATATTTACACACAATGATTTAATTGCAGCGGTGTTTCAATGACGTCGGTTGGAGAATAGTTTATCTGTGTTTCTTGATGATGTTTTGAAATTAATTTCTGTTTGACTAATATTTTATTCAGGATGTTCGTGTGGGAACTCCACAGTCTGCATTGCAGCGTCCAACAGTGAAGGAGAATGTGGCAGAAGGCTGTAGTGTTGTGGATCAATGCAGACAACATGTTCCAGATAAGTGTCCTGTTCACAGCAAGTGTGTTCCAGACTGGGAGCAATATCACTGTAACTGTGATACAGGTAATATTTTAATATTAATGTAATAATTACAAACCTGGCATGGTGCTCAATTATGTCATATTACAGAGCAGTAAACAATGATGATCTTGATCTAATGATAATGTATCAGTGGCGTGCCATGCATGGAAGCAAGGGAAGCATTGCTTCTGTAGTTGAGAAACGAAAAGAATTCATGCATAAATAATCCAAGCTGAATAATAAGGATTGTGGTTCTCAAGAACATATTGCGTAACAAAGCAAGAGGCCGGACCGCAGGCAGCGAGTGTCCTTGGGGGGTCATTACCAAGTTTCCTCTCGTTAATTTTCATAAGAGTTCATCCCACCCGAAGTATCTATAGGAAGCAATTCTGACTGTGTTGCCCGTGCTCCTTGGCTTGTAGTGCAGAAGCCAAAGAATGTGTTCTTTCAATGGTGATGTGAAAATTAACAGCTTACTTGTGATTTCAGTTCTTGTTTGGTGTTGTAACATTAAATTTTATTTAAACATTGTACATGCATATTTAGATTTTGCAGGATTGTATTTGTGATCGTATTTTGAAGCATGTTAAACTCCATAAAGTAAATGATCCGTGTGCAAGGCAGGGGAGTGATTAGAGTCTAATCACTCCCCTGCCACTTGTACCACGAGATTGGAAAGCCACAGAAAACCCCAGTTAGGATATCCCGTCTCCGGGCTGAGATTTGAACCTGGAACCTCCCAAATATGAAGCAGTTGTGTTAATCACTCGACTACGACGTTTGGTATATATTGATATTGAAACATTTTCAAAGTTGTGATTGCATAATTTTTTGGATCTTGTTGTGCTTTGGAAGTCAAGTTGAAGAGAGAGTGTGTTTTACTGAGGCCCAACCAACATTTATTTCTCTCTCCAGTATTATGGAATTTTAAGAAAAAATGGAAAGTGTGGTTTTGAACCTAAAGGAAATAAAGAAGTAGATATATTTGTTGCAAACATTGAGATGTCTTGCAGAGAAAAGCATGCTGCAAAAACATGTTCATGTTTCCAGCCATAACAGAATTCTGTGGAAACACACTGTTGAATTTTGCATCAAAGGAGTGTTTGTAAGAAGTATTCAGTGGTAAGCTAACTGCACTAAGAGTAAAGAAATACTGAATAGTTTTACATTTCTTACAGCAGGGCTCTTTCTTATTTTTGCCAACACAGTGTCGGCTGCCATCTTGAACAAACTTCAGGAAAAGCGGTGGTGTGATATGTGTCTCTTTATTGCCAGTAAAGTACAACACACATTCATCGTTACCTGATTGCACAGTTTTAACTCTGCTTTATGCATATTTGAATGGTAAATTATTTCTGCAGTCAGTGTATATCAGAAAAAAGTATGATAATAAACTAGTGTGGCTTGGTCAAGAGTGATTTTGTAAAGTAAGAATCTTCGCATGTGTAAATATTTGTGTCCTGACATGTGCTTGTGCTGACATGATGGTTTCTATAGGTTATGTTGGTCCTTCATGCATTGGTGTGTGTGAGGTGAATCCATGTTCTAATGGCGCTCGTTGTGTTGAAAATCCTCTTGGTAAACGAGGCTACAGCTGCAAATGCAATTCCAGTGAATATTCAGGTATAGTGAATAAGAATAACAATTTTGCTTTTAAACTCGTGTTTTAAGTATTCTTCATGCTCAAGCATGAATGAAGAACACCTTTTGGCCTGTCCATGGCTGTCACTGTCTTGCTAGCAACTAGGCAACTTCTATGACACTAGGCCATTTTTGGAGCTTGCCGAAACATTGGGAACAAAGGTCATGTTGTTACATTGTGTGTGGGTCATTGTTGGAGTATGTTGTTAGAACATTATTGTAACATTGTGAATCAAGAACGTTGTTGGAACAGTTGGAACTGAGGTCATCATTGGATTACGTTGTGGCAACAATAATCTTACAACATGGTGGCCTTGGATACCAGAGCTGCCTTTTATACTATTGCAGCATTTATTATTCCCTAGGTTGTCCTGTTGTCATGTGGTGTGAACATCTTTTGAATTTTATTGTACTTTAAAGAGTACCACATCACAGTCTCATTGTATTGCTTACACTCTATCATAAGTAAAGAGCACCTGGTAGATCTGTGCATGTCTGTGTGTCTGTCTGTTGCATCTTTTAGGTGTAAGAATAACAACCAATATTTCAGGTGAATACTGTGAAGTGAAGGTGGACCAGCCGTGCCCTAGTAGCTGGTGGGGTTATCCTGTGTGTGGGCCATGCCATTGTGACGTTGACAAGGGTTACAATGCTGATTGCAACAAGACCACAGGGGAATGCTATTGCAAGGTTAGTGGCACTTCTGTGTTTAATTTAAGATTTATTCTTGCATATTGAAAATTTCATGTTTCCTTAACTACTCCATGTAAATGCTGGGATAATAGTATTAGATTTTAGCTGCATTGTAAACCATAACATTTTCACTCATTGCCCTGATGTTGGAGGTAGCAAGGACCTCTGAAACGACGATAAACGTTTACCAGACTACACGGCACGACAACCCAGAAGTTTATATTCACCAAGTGAATAAGTGATGTGTGTACGTAATGTATCACATTTTGAAGGTTCAGGCCCACATACTAATGAATGTTCATGATATTGAAAATAGGCAATATCTTCTCCACAGTTAGATCATAAGCCAGAACCAACGTAATTACTTTCTGTAACATAATGATATAACAGTTACATGATTTATACTCTTTGTACATTTGTAATTTGCAGAAAAGACATTCTATATTTTGTGCAGGAGAACCACTTCCAACCTCCTGATACAGACAGTTGCTTTGACTGTGAGTGCTATGCTACTGGGTCATATGGCAATCAGTGCGATCCAATTACGGGACAGTGTCGCTGTCGGAATGGTGTGATTGGTCGACGATGTGATTCGTGCCCAAATACATATGCTGAGGTTACTCTTCGAGGTTGTGAGGGTGAGCCACCCCTTTTTGTGACATACATATTTTTCCACCCTGAAACTCATGATTGTAATTCCAGTCATATTGATTTGTGCTTTTTATTGGCAGTTGTATATGACGGCTGTCCACGCAGTTTCTCACATGGCTTGTGGTGGGAGCGAACACTGTTTGGAAAGATAGCGCTAGAATCATGCCCAAGTCACTCACAGGGCAAGGCATCAAGAGCATGTGATGAGACACTGGGTGGCTGGCAGGAACCTGATCTCTTCAACTGTACATCAGATCCATTCCTAGATCTACGTAAAGTTGTAAGTTTTCTGCTTTATGAAATTGAAAATGATAATAAAGAAGGGAGAATACTCATACTAGAATGAATGAAGTGATGATCAAAGCATCTTGAGTGTTACTTTTGAAGTCCATGTGCAATTAACTGGTTGATGGTTGAACAAAAGTTTTATAAATAAATGGTGAGGTGAACATATGTTATTGTTTAGTTTGTGAACAATTAATTTTCATTTATGCTACTATTTTTATCAATGTTTTTAAACCTCTGCATTGCAAAGTATTAAAAGTTCTGTTTACACCAGAAAATATAGTGAAATAAGTGATGTGAAGAAATAATAAGCACTGAACATAAGATGCGACTATAGTAAAGCCTTGTTAATTTGCTATTGGTTAATTCAAAGCACCATCTAATTTGAAGGAAGTCTTGTTCCTCAGCCTTAAATATATAATTTTGTATATTTTTGATGCAGCTAATTTGAAAACTATATTTCAGCCTTGCAAGGACAGAAATATGAGTAATTCAAAATTATTAAACTGTAACTTCCATGTAAAAGTTCACTGCACCATTTGTTTGCTGCTGGAAGGTTGACCTTAAATACATATGGAAGAGCAGTTGCTTAAGTGCTGTTTGTTTCACTGTGTAACATTTTCAATAATATTCTGATGTAGCAACAACATATGCTTTTTATAGGACTTGTATGTATGTTTCAACTTTTGAAGGATGTGACTTATTGTAATTAGACATTAGGAGATGCACTTTAAAGTTACCATTTCCAAATATTGAAAGTATCCATTGGATTTAGAATTTTTGTAAATCTCATAAATTTTTGTCTTATGGAGGTTCCACTGTATATGAAACACTTTATTGAGTTCTCTGAAAGCTTATGTGTCGTTGTTTGGTAATGTCTGTGACTGCTCAAATGAAAGTCTGCACAAGGTCTTTGAAATACGAATTGGGTGTTTTAGAAGGCAGTAAAAGTAAGCCATTGACAGATGATGTGAATGAATTGAATTATGAACTCGGTACTCAGGAAACTGCTCATTCGTACCTCTTGTTTATCTGTGGTTTTATTAGCTTGGTCAGCTTGAAACTGGAGATCTTCATGTGACAACATTTGTAGCAGTGAAAGTGGCCTCAGATCTGCGTAGAGCTACCAGTATAACTTCTGTTCTGCATGGGGCTGATTTGCTAATATCACAAGAGCTTCTTAGGGAACTTATGAGCTATGAGTGTGGTGAGAAGGGACTAAACCTTACACACAGTCAAGACAAGGATTATATCCAGGTAAATAAACATAAATGGCTTTAAAATGTGTACAATTTATGTGGAGGGACGTGTTACAGAATCAGTATAAATGTAAACATGAGTAAATAATTGTGACTTTAATTCAGGTAATGGTCATAATTTGTCCATTTGTGAATATTCTATGTCTAGTTAGATTAGAATATAACTGTGCAAGTAATTTTACAGTTGAAAACATGAATGAAGTATGATTGCAAGTGTGCTGTAAGATTGTGTTTGAGAACCAAATATATTGCTTCATAAATAAATGTAATCAGGTTTGATGGTTTAATGCACTGGATTTCATGGACAAGTGGTTAGCATTCTTGCTTCATATTCAGTAGGTCCAGGGTTCATTTTTTGGCCTTGTGTGGTTTTGATCAGTATGTATAGGAAAGTTATAGGATAGTTTCTTAAATTAGGCCTTGATCACTTCCTTGTATGTATTTTCCAATTAATAATTTATTAATTCTGTCATTTGATGCTATATAATCTGAGCTGCTGACATCATCATTATATAAACTACAGATAAATAAATAAACATGATAATTTAATGCCTAGCTTGTCTTTAATATTAGAGAGGCCAAGTAAGATTTGAACTTCTTCTCGTGAACATGTCGGCTTTGCTTTGTAGTGTATTTCATTTCAAGTCAGTTTACATCCAAGTCAGGATCATATGTGATTGTTTTCATGATTTTTCTCAGTCTATTCAGATAGTGCTGGTAAAATATGTTAGAAGGGTCACAATAACTCGTCATAATTTCTGATTAACTAGTCATTTGAACATTCATCTTTGGATGTTGTTGATGTTCATGAAAGAATCTCCAAACCTATATCTGTTGTTTCCTGAAAGATGTTATGGAGATACTGGGAAAGTAGACTGAGCAGAAGTCTGTTAGTTGGGTGCATTAGTACACTTATGAATTTAAAGTTGGGCATACTCAGGAAAAACAACATGAACCTGTGCACATGTGCCCACATGCATGTGTGTGTGTGTGTGTAAAAATCACTTCATATATAAAGTGATTTCCTTGAAGCCTTGTTTGATGTTGTCTTCATTATATTACAGAACATAGTTCAAACTGCCAGCAGTATTCTTGATATGAAGTACAAGGACCACTGGGACAGAATTACGGATCTGACTGGAGAAACGGCGGAAGATCTAGTATTGTCATTTGACAGGTACATTGCAACTCTTGCTCAAAGCCAGGAGGATACATACACCAGTCCCTTTGAAGTTGTAGCAGACAGTATGGGTGAGAGCAGTTTTAAAATCTTACAAGTATTTATTTGGAATATGACACTCTAGAAATTTAATGGTTTTACTTTTCACGCTGATTTTGTTTGTCATGCCTGCAGTACTGGGATTGGATGTTGTGACATCTGAGAGTCTGTTTGGTTACGAGTCAACCAGTAAAGACGTGTTGGCTGTAGTCGCTGGACCAGACGTCTCTGGGGAGCAAATTGTATTACCAGATACTTCCCAGTTTCTTCAGCCTTCGGTCCAGGTGAGTGGAAACTATAATGCTTGCAGAAAACATATACTTCTCAGAATATTGCTGTCTTCTGGGTTATTGCACCTGTAGTCTGTTAGATGAAGCAAACTGTTTTCTGGACAGTGGATAATGTCCAGAAAACAATTTGCTTTAACAACTCACCATAGTCACAAACTTTCAGAATTGAGTCTGGTAGATGTTTACCGACGTTTCAGAGGTCCTTGATGCCTCCATCATCAGGCCCTCTTCTGCAGTTTTTTTAAATACATTCTCAATTGAAAAATAGTTCAAAACTCTCAACTGTTTCATCAACTTCCTTTGCTGCATCTTGAGTTTTAAACCCACCCCTAAATTATTTCCTTTGACCTTTGTAATTTGATGTCTTCTCACACACATCTTTTCCACACTAGATGTCTTTCCATCATTATCATTATTGTTTACTAACATATCAGTCACAATAATGTCATCAGTAGAATTATTACTGTCTTTCAGAATCAGCAGAACTTAGATCTGAATTGTTACAGTCAAATACAAGTTTTACATCTGGTACAAAACTAATATACAGGGTGAGTCAAAAGTATGTTTACAAACTTTGTGTACGTTTTACAGGATCAAAAATAAGAAAAAAAATTATGAACATGTGTGGTATAAACACGAGAACTAAGTGCTAGATGATAAATGTAACCTGGGGTCTAGACTGTGACATGGGTTGACAGTGGGAATGTTATATTCTTTCATTGTTAAGTGTTATTATTTCTTAAAGCAGGTAGTGACTGATACACAGGTCCAGACATAAACAAAGGACAATGAGTGAGAAATTATAAAATAGTTGCATGATGGCAGCACAATCAGAGGCATATTTTTGACTACCTTTATCCATTATTTATGAATGAGAGATATGATTCCTGAAGTATTTGCCCTCGATTTACGCCAGGGATGCGTTCCTGGATGAACCGGCGTAAATTGAAACTCTTTTATGATGTAAATCAATGGGAAGTCTATGACATGACTTCCCAGCACCCAAACATTGATGAGTAATATAATGGCATTACATTTAAAGCTCTGAAATAACGTAAATAAAATTAAGGGAATTTAAAAAATATATTTCATACACTTACAATCGGCAATTTGTTGGTCCCCACGATTGACTGCGATTCTTTCATGAGATTGATGTGTACAGTCATCTCTGCTGTTATGTGATAGTTGCATTCATGTAAGACGCCAACCTATAGAAAATTGCGTAGTAAAAATAACCCCGGTACCTCTGCAGAGATTAAATTAGTCCTTTAAAAGTTTAAAGCGCCAGGAATGAAATTGCATAAGAGCAAACTCGCATATGCAAAAGTTTGCATTTCACAAACAGCTTTTACTGATTCATCGTTCTCATTGGAGCAAATTCATGTCAATGAAACATGCGTAATTGCAGAGATGACTGTATTTATAATTTTTATTCAAAATAAGCGATATAAGAATTGCGATTTAGTATAAGAATCAGTACGAGATACATTGTGAAACATAAATAATAGTAAAATATATTTTTTCACGTTTTGACTTGCCGGTTTCAAAATCGGCCTTATTCTGAATCGGCGCAAATGGAGGGCTACCTGTATAATGCTATTGATGGAGGGGTAGAAAATTTTGACATGAAAATTAGGGTGAGGTACATAACATATTGTACATCAATAAGTAATTGTTCATATATGAACAGAAACCTCATGATTTTGTCTTTAAGCACATGTCATTACATTATAAATTTTCTGAAATGTTTATGGTTGTCTTCTGGGTTGTAGTCTGGTGGAAGTTTGCTGACATTTCAGAAGTTCTTACTGTCTCCACTCTCAGGGTGATGAGACAGCCATCTTTGTACTCACTGCTGTGAGGTTCTCAAATCTGACATATTGGCTCCAAAATTGACACTAAAATTTAGTGTTGCTACGGATGTAATATTATGTCGAACAGTGGCATGTGATATGGAATGATTACTGTACTCAGTATGTTGGATAGGCTTTGAAGGGTTAAGGTGATTGTAAATGAAAACATTTTCTCAGTTTATTCATTCACGTGTTTACGTGAGTGCAAACTGGTTTCCAGTTTCTTTAGCCACCTGTTAAGATGAATATAATTGAAGAAGACTTTTCCATCTCCATTCGTCTGTCCATGTTAGTGGAAACAGACATTTATCCATTTTTCTGGTCACTGTCAGGGTGATTAGGAAAAAACTATTGATTTTAATATTATATATCTTACTGTGTTGTAATATTTTTTTCTTTTGTGCCTGCAGCTGTCTGCACCTATGGTTTTAGGAATGGGATCCAGAACATTCACAGGAGCAATTCAGAACAGTCCAATGGTTGCATTTCCAAAATATAATAATTACATGCTTGACAGGAACAAGTTTGATGTTAGCTCAAGAGTTCTAGTCCCTTTACACCTCTTGGGTATAAAGTCCTTGCAGCAAGGTAAGGGTTTTTATGAAGGGTTTATAAGTACCAACATTTTCAAACTTGAACTCTGCTTTAAATGTAATTTTAAACTTCATATTTGACTAGTATTTATTTTTCTTTGTTTTTGTTTTTTTTGTTACTCATTGTTTATTTTCTGTTTACTAAGAACAGAAGAGTATATCACAGTGAAAAATCTGGTGTTTCACATTGTTGATACTGTCATCATTCAGTAGGTCCTCAATTTTAAATGCAGATAGCAGATGTTAATATAAACCACTTACTAGTTAAAATTATTCGTTGTCAGGACTTTTTCCATCGTCTATTCTTTAAAATCCATTATGTTTCAGAGGCTGGTTCTGTCTTCGTCTTCAGATGGGAGGTACCTACTCTGTTGGGTCCCTTAGATAGAGCTGACGACGGAGACAGAACCAGCCTCTGAAACGTCGTGGATTTTAAAGAATAGACGATGGAAAAAGTCCTGACAGAATAATTTTAATTGTAATCTACCATCATCAAAACCCTTTAGAATTGAATCACTTACTAGTGTTGGTACAGTTTCTAAACAGCTATGAAACATAATTTGAAGAATGCTACGTAGTTGAGTTTTTTTGTTGTTGTCTTTTTAAGGACTTCATTCTATTTGAACAAATGTATTCTTAAGACATATGATATAAAAGAAAAACTGGGAACTGGTACCGGTAATCAGGAGGACCTGTAGCATGCCATAAATAATTAGACATGACCTATACAGACAGAACCTACTATTTTCTAAGAACTAATCTGAAATATAATCACAGAAACGCACACTGTGAATGAAAGCTAGGCGTAATGTCCACATACTGAAATTCTTGAAATAATACTACTGGCATTACATATTAATTTATTCTAATAATATGTAATTTTATGTAATTTTTGTGGTATGTAAATAGTCATTAAGTAAATCAAAAATAATTAAGAGAACCATTTTGTTTCAAATTAAATAATTTTTAAACTGCTTTTGAGTTGTGCTGCCTACAGAATGTTGTTTTCATGGCCAAAGTCATTTTGTGAAGAAACTTGCACCATTTACTAGCTTATTGGCATATTCATTTATCTTAGTTGATGTACTTTAATTGCTTCCTTTTTTAAAATTCTTTTTAGTTTTATTTGTTAATTATTTTAAATTTTGGAAACTGTTATGTGTATGAATGTTTCAGGTGAACTTATAACTAAGCACAGTTTGAAAGGGAGTGGTAAAGCAGTTCTTAGTTATACTCACTACAGAACAGCTGGTTCACTCCTGCCAGAACGTTACGATGAGACTGTCAGCCAACGTTGGGGCATTGAACTTCGTGTTGGCTCCCCTGTCATATCATTGGCCGTTCTTGTACCAGTAGAAGAGGGAGAATTTGCTGAAGGTAATATAGGAGTGTTCGGTGATGCTGTACTTCCTGAACAATAATGTGGATAAAATCCTGGAGCTGGTTGTAACTACTTTATGGATCATTCCATGTCAAATCGCACACTAAAGTACAATTTCCAAATTATCTGCCTCAGTTTTCCATCGAACTTCGTGAGTTTCTAGACTATAGTGACAAGTCTTGCAACAAATTGTTATCTGCCTTTGCCTGACAGTAAATCAGCATCAAGACTTAAGAATTTGCAAATAAGAATTAAATTTGTATTATTTTAGGTTTTCACAGCAGTGAGTAAGAAATATTGCTGTCTTCTGGGTTGTTGCGCTGTGTGGTATGGTAAATATCCACCAAATTTCTTATACACCATTGGCAAGAGCATTCAATAACTTTAAAATAAGTATATAATGAGTCTTGCAGAATATACAGTACCAAAGTTATAGCAATCTTCAAGTAACCCGTCATGTAGAGAAATTTAATTCTTGAATTGAATAAAAATTTTCTTGGATATTATCCATCGTCTAGTAAATATAAAACGTAAAACGACGTTTAGGAGATGGGATTAGCTCTATCTAGTGGGCCCAACTGTGTAGGAACCTGAAGACGGAGATAGAGTCCCATCTCCGAAACGTCGTTTTACGTTTTATATTTACTAGACGATGGATAATATCCAAGAAAATTTTTATTCAATTCAAGAATTAAATTTCTCTACATGACGGGTTACTTGAAGATTGCTATAACTTTGGTACTGAATATTCTGCAAGACTCATTATATACTTATTTTAAAGTTATTGAATGCTCTTGCCAATGGTGTATAAGAAATTAAATTGGCAGTAGCTACATGGAACACTGTGGTGGATGGTAAATGAAAGAAATTAATGTAAAATATATTTCTTCAGTTTCTGGCCCTTCCTGTGGTGAGTGTATAATTCTAAAACTTTTAATATGAAAATAATGTGGATCCATTTTAAGATAAAATTGTCCCTCTACTTCAGCATGGGGAAGGTGAAAAAATATATGCACAATATTAGTCAGAAAGCCTGAAATGATGAAAGCACTTCAGAGACCTACGTGGGAGTGGGATAATATTAAAATTGAACATAAAGAAATAGGATGTGAGGGAGCAGATTCGATTCACAGTGGCTTATGATAAAGTGAGTCACTGTCAGCTTCTTGACAAGGTCTGTGCTTCATGGTGTTAATTGTTTGGGGTTTTTGTTACAGAGGTAAATGTGGTAGTACATTTTAATGAGTAGTGATCATGTATGAAAGTGATGGTAGGAGAGATGTGCAGTAATAGATACAGTGGATATTTGGTGTACTTTATGTGATGAGTTGTTGCAGAATGAGGGAAGAGTGAGGAGTATCTGAATTCTCAAAATTAAAATTGAAATGAAAGATGAATGGGACATGGCCTTTTCATGCTGTCTTGCATGCAAAGAACATGTAATCGTAAGGAACTACTATGATATTAGGTATTTTAGATTTGTATGTTCCAGCAAGTTGAGGTCAAACTAATACTGTATTTGGTTTTATGTAACATTTCACATTGTAGTAATGTTTTTTAATTAGATCCAAAGAAGTACAAGCTCCTGACAGACAGTGGTGTTCTGCCTATGCCAGTCTTGTTACGCCTGTGGTTACACAGTGACCTGCAACCACTGTCACCAAGATCCAACCCACAGTGTGTTCATTGGAGCACTGCCAGAGGGTATGTGTACCACAACCAATCTTACTGTATATGTAATAATGTTATGTTATATGTTTGTACATAACAGTGAGCAAATGTTTTCTACCAGACACACAACAGCAAATGCATTATTATTAAATATGTATGGCCTATGTTTTGGGTTATCAGCCTGCGGCTCGCGCCACCTCTTCATGTGGCCCATTTAATGTATCAGTAACTTAAACTAGGGCTTTTTGTAAGGCACTGAAAATCAGGGGCAAATGCTCCAGGTTCCACGATTTAGTATCACAGTATTTGTTTAATTTTGTACTTTTAACAAGTTTGACTTTGTTGAGTGGTGAGTTCATTGCTTGGTAGGACTATGGTGTCCAAAATATTTGCTAGAAGCAGGTGGCTAAGACCCCTCTATGTTTTAGTAAGACAGCAGTTATTTACATCAAAGGAGTTTGTGGCTTCTCACCAACAGATGTTGGTCGCCCTTGGTGGACTAGTGGTTAGCGTGCTTGCCACTGGACCCAAGGTTTGCAGGTTCAAACCCGGCCTAGGTCAGTGGATTTTTAAGGGTGATAAAAATCTGTAGCACAACTTTCTTCAGAGGGGAAGTAAAGCCAGCAGTCCCATGTCGTAGATTTACAGCATGTAAAAGAACCTTACAAACATGAACGAGATGTTTCATAAGCATAATTCAGCAGCCATTTCTTACCCAAGTTTCTTCTGATTTATTACTAGATGGCTCTAGTAGACAAATCAGGATTGAGTAAAAATTGTGCAGAGGCAGTGGGCTGGTCACTCACTACTCATAAATGCACACTTCAAAAGACAAAAAAATGTCCCGCATGGGAGGAGGCCAAGGCTCGACTTCAGGCTGTTGTGCCATAGAGTCAGTCAGTCATCAACAGTATTATTCCACTTATGCCACCTAGTTTTGGCAGGGGGAGGGGGAGTTATGAATTCTTTAATAGAATTGCAGCATATAGTGTTGACACTAATCTTCAAATCTCAGATAAAGTGCAAACTTGACACTGTTTTTAAATTTGTCATTAATTCTCTGGAATAACTACAACTTGAATTGACTGAACTGCAGCGTGACTGAATTTTGCATAGTAGTTTCAAACAGGAAGCTTTAATTAACTTTTATGCTTCTTTATGTGTATATCAATTCTCTCTCTACTAACATAAGTTAGCATGAGATTTGACTGTTGCATTTGGTAGCAGTTACACAGCATACAAACTGAGTTTTTCATGTATAAAGCAAACAAATCAAAGTTCCATTCCAGAGTCGCTGATGTACATTTACATGATGTGATGCAAATTGGTATTTTAGAAATGGAACGAAATGTTATTAATTCCCTTGCAGAGTAAAGTCAGACCATTAAGGTAGGTAAATTTATGATGTTTTTATAGTACTGTTCAGATTTGGCTGTGTTGGTTACAGTAGAGATATTTGAATGTTTTGGCTCTTGTAGCACATTATTAGTATATATATCAATTTAACCTGCTTGCCTGTAAGGTTGGTCACGCATACGCCATCAGGAAAGTCCAAGATAGGCAAGAGGGTTTGTGATTGAATGGGACACATCAGCTATTGGCATATGCTGATGATGTTAATTTATTGGGGGACGATGTAAATAAAATAAAGAGGAACAGAAGTTTTACTAGATGCTAGTAGAAAGGTGGGCCTAGAAATAAATTCTGAAAAAAACATGTACAAATGTTAACAGGTTTGGAGAATGGTCTCGGGCAGGGTGTCAAACAGAAGTGCCTGATGATTGGCATATGTCTGTCACAAAACCATTCCTAGTCAACTGTACCTGTAACCATCTGTCTACATTTGCAGTGTTGGTAGATCTGGTTGACATGCAGGTATGTAGTTCTGACTAAAATGGACAGTTTCTTGGAATGGTTAAGCAATTATTGATAAAACATTGCTCTCTTGCACTAATAACAAAGGAAAATGCATGATTCACATAAGAAACTGTCTGCTCATGTTACCGTCTTATACATATTTCATGTACACAGGGCTTAACAAATCCATGATGAGGGGAAAATTAAGGCGTATTGAGTGAAATGTTATGAATTTCTTGGTCAATATTTTCTCCTGTTTTTTTTAATGTTGCCACAGATGACACCAACATATTTGGATATCAGGATGTAGGAAAAAGATTAGAATGAAGTACAATTAGCTGATAGTGACTCACCTCTCCAGTGTGCAGATAAATTGCAGTTTACCGACAGTTGCTCACAATTGCTTTTTGTTTGAAAGAAATGTTTTGCAAGCAAAGTTTTTGTTTGACTAGTGAACTGAAACAATATTTATTGACCCCTGGTTATGCACATGCAAATAGCAGGCAGTCATAATAGAAATTTTAAGACAAACAACATGTTTCTGCAATAAAAATATTTATAAAACTGCAGGCTGAGCTTGAATGTGAGCCCTGTTCCACGACACCTTGGTTCAACACTGCATACTAATTTTATAACGACAAGAGAAAGAAACAGTACCCACCACAAATTTTACAGGTACAGATTGGCATTGTTCAGGGTCTATCAGACAGTCTGAAAGTACATTGACATTTTACTTGGAATGTAATGTGTAGGTATTAATGTTTTTATGAGATTGGTAATGAGAAATTGGTCTCATGTAGTTCTAGACACAGGGACATATGTACATTGCATTCACTGATAAAGTTGAATGCAACTGTCACTTCCTGGGTTCTGGCAGGAACTGGTATAAAATAAGTAATTTGATTATATTCTTTCTATGTAGCGTTGGGAAAATCTTGCAGTACAAGGCAGTGAGTCAAACAGTTCCAGCTGGGAGCTGGAAAGTGACAGTTGTGTTCAACTTTTTCAGTGAAAACACTGTACTGATATATGGTTTTTAATGTATAGTTGAATCTTACGGTTTCAAATTGTTTTATTGATGATTGCCAGTAGCTGGCTCTGTACAGAGTTCTGTGCTAGTTTTTTTTCTTGATGATAAATCTTCAGGTTCTATAATGCAAGCAAGCGATGGCTCATAGATTGTTAACAATACTTAATCAGCTGCTGAGTGAAAAGTATATGCTGAAACATGCTTTGTTTTTCTCTTTGACAGTACATTCCTGATCCAAGTTTATCTGAAGATGTTGTGACGTACGGAGCATTTTGCCTAGCACTCCCATTGCTCTTAGCAACACTTCTTATTCTCGTACTGATACGTGGTGTTGAGACTAATTCTAATTCCATACATAAGAATGTGGTGGCATGTGTGTTTCTGGCTGAGTTGGTGTTTTTCATAGCACTGAAAGCCAGGAAGACCCTGGTGCTACATGAGGTAAATTACAGTGTGTTATAATTGCATGTGATCTGTATTGTGCAGTATTTTCTCATTATAATGAATGATTTATTGATACACATGTAATTGTAAATTTAAAAATATTTCTGAATCATGGCCTTGTGGATTATTACATTGTGTTGTCTTGTAGATTAGTGTTTCTCAAGCTGCAAGTTTTAAGCTTTTTTCATCACATTTTTTATTTGCATATTGGAGTAAGAACATGAGAAAAAACTGTACCTTTTATCAATATTTTAGTTAGTCTGTATTCTTCTTAATTAGTTGGTCACAGTGGCCATGCAGTCTGAGGCGTGGGCCTTGTGCGCTTGGACACTGGGACCGTGGGTTCGAATCCCACTCAAGGCATGGATGTTAGTCCGCATCTTTCTGTGTTGTCCTGTGTACAGGTTGAGGCCTTGCGACGGGCTTGTCACTTGTCCTTGGAATCCTAACAAATATCTAAATAGACCAAGTAACCTCTGTGAGGAGGCCCTATGCTTCATATAGGATTAAAAAGGATATTAAACAAATTCTACTTAATTAAATTGTGTGACATCATTTTGGTGAGGGGTTTGCAGTACCAAAGAGGTTGAGGAACATTGTTGTAGATGGTTACGAGTGTTTTGGAGGAAAATGTTACTTCCATATTTAGGGGAAATTTATAGAAATATTTGGTTTGTTAATTGTGTATAGAAGTCCAGTGGTCTCTGTAGATATAGAATACATATATCACATCTCTGTTCTTTTGCATGTGCAGTTTCCTTGCAAGATGTCAGCCATATGCCTACACTACCTCTGGCTCACAGCCTTCACATGGACTCTCGTGGACTCAATACATTTGTATCGCATGCTCACAGAGATGCGAGACATCAACCATGGTCCCATGAGATTTTACTACACAATGGGCTATGGACTACCTGCTGTGGTTCTCGGCCTGTCAGTAGGTGTTCGTGCGGATCAGTATGGAAACTTTTACTTGTAAGTCTCTCACAATATTTTAGTGGTACAGGAGAACAAATTTTATGTAGCTGCTTTCGTTGTAAGCCAATCATGGTCACACTACTTGTAGCACAGTTATGTTGAAGATATATGAAATGTTAGTATTAGGGAGACAAAAACCATAAAGTCCAATATATCTGTGAATTGTAATTGCAAAAGAGCAGGTTACTCAAATACTGGTACAATATGTGGCCCAGTTTTCTGTTATAATATAAAACTCTTCACAATATAATGCAAACATAGAACTGTCATCGCACCACCTAATAGAATGTACAGGAAGTAAATGCGGGATAACCGGCTTAGTATAAAAGACAGTAATGTTTAGTGCTAAATGTATGCTAGTAATGCTAATGCAACAGTTGGTTTGGTTAGCAAAACGAACATTTTATTTATCTCCTCCTAATGACAACAAACTTTGCTATGTCGAAAGGTCTAATTATAAAAAGTACAAAATTTCCCCTCTGCAATATTCATAAATACACCTGGACTTCTCCAGATGGTATAACACACAATCAGGTAGATCAATATTTTAGTAGATAATAGAAGGCAGACATGTATAATTAATGGAAAGTCATTCACAGGAGCACATTGTGACACTAACCATTATCTGGTAAGAATCAAAAGGACACTTTTAAAACCCAAGGGATCATTTTTGGACATTTTTGTGCAAGGTTTTTGTTTAAAAAATGCATAGTTTGTTATGCCAGTTTTAAAGTGTATGTGTGGTGTTACAGATTTTCTCTTTTCAAACTTTCTTAACTGTTGTGTAATTCATGTTTGCAGTTGCTGGCTGTCTATCTATGAATCTGTAGTGTGGAGTCTAATTGGTCCAGTGTGTGCAGTTGTGCTACTGAACCTTGGAGTGCTGGTTTTCTCTGTTCGGGCTGCATTTACCCTCAAAGATCATGTGATGGGGTTTGGGAATCTCAGGTAAGACTGCATGTATAGTTTTTGAAGTAACCAAATGACTCGTGAGCAGTTCACTGTGCATTGCTGAACCTGCTTCTTATACTCATCAGTGTTACATACCTGAAGTCCATGTTTAATCAAACATGGACTTCAGGTATGTATGTAACCTTTGCAACCTGTGATCCTCATACTTATATTTAATATTACAGTGAAACTTCATTCATTTCTCAAAATTTTCTGCTTATAATTATTTTAATAATCTTATATAAATATGGAGTTAAAACGAGAAGCTGAGAATAGGGTAAAATGGAGAGCTCTTTTTGGGCAGAGCAATGGACCTGTCGTCAGACAGAACACTGAATAATAATAATAATATTATTATTATAAATATAAAGAGTAATTATTGTATAGTAAACCTCTGAAACATCGGTAAATTTCTACCAGACTATACAGCGCAAGTACCCAAAAGACAGCAATCTTTAATTTATTAATGTTAACACAGTATTTTCTAATGACATTTATACTTCATAAATAATTAACATAAATGGTTAACAATTTTTTGTAATGTTGTGTTGTGAAAGGGAAATTGGCCAGGGTGAAACATTGACAACAAAGCAGGCTGTGGAGTTGGAGTCAGTAAAAATGTACTGACTCCGACCTCGATATAAAATCTTTAGAACACTTTCGCTACCTTGTGAGCTGCTGGCAGCCTCAAGCTTCAGGAGATTCAATGACGCGTTGAGCCACATGGTGTGGGAATAATGCTTTGTAACTTTGGCTCTGGTACCTTAAGAATACAAACTGTCTACAAATCAACTGATTTTTGCAATAACCATTAGATGTTTATTTAAATATAGGTTATAAGTCTAAAAAGTATCCTGATGATTCATGTGGTGGTGATGAAATCTCTTGTGGTACCATTTACGATTTTAGTAGGTTTACCATTATTAATACATATGAAGGTTTTAGTATTGACTCCACAGCCCTGTAACAAAGAGATGTTTTATTGTAGGGTACAGAGTTTGCTTTGCTTTGCTTTGCAGGACACTGCTGTGGTTGTCAGTAGTTTCACTACCACTTCTTGGCGTGGCGTGGGTTCTGGCAGTTTTATCAGTTAGTGAGAGGCTGCCTCTTCTGTCTTATCTTTTGTCAGTAGCAGTTCTTGCACATGCCATGTTTGCTCTTATTGGTTACTGTTTCCTGAACACACGAGTTAGGCGCAATCTCTATGTGTCATTGCTGCGCTGCATTGGTAGAAAAGTTCCACTGGACTCATCTGAAGTGACTACAGGAGGTACAAGCAGCTACAGTCACCAAGGTGGTGCTGCCGGCCAACAGCATTCGGTAGGCAGAATTATATTTTATTTCAGTTTACTATTATTTGTTGTATATGAGTTATCATAATTTTTCCATTTGTGCCATTGTTTTGGTGGGTGCCTAGTAATCCAATGAAATAGACCTGTATCTAAAAGTTTTAGTTGTTATGGTGTGTAGAATAAACTTTTTGGAAATATGACAAGGGAAACTTTTCCACATCTCACGTAGAATACATGCCAAGGAATGACTCACAGTACTCACTTGTCATTTATTTGTACACCAACTGTCACAGCAGAACTCAACAATCTACAGTATTCAGATAAAAATTAGATTGAAGCATAAACATTTTCAAAAATAAAACTTCCAACTGCTTTATCAATGTTGCAAATTCATTTAACTTGTATAACATTTCAATAAAATGTGTCTTTCTCTAAAGACAATATTGGAATCTTTGAACGCATTTTGGCAATACAAGTAATATGTGGTTCCAAAATCTCAAACAAAGCACACAACATGTATTTTTCACAATGTTCTTATGTCAAAGTATGAACAAGTATGAATTATTTTGTAAAAGAGGTCATTGCTAGAAGTTTGTGTGTAGTCCCTGCACCCAATAATCCCCCCCCAAAGCAAGCCCTGGCGTGCTTCTGGATGACTGTGTTATTTTGTTATGGTTTAGGCATAGCTCTTGATTACACAATTTCATGTTCAGCGCACATTAAACATCAGCTGTTTTGTGCTATACTGATATTACATAATAGAAACAAATGACATATGAATTGCAAAAACACATAATATTTAATGTGGCACGATGTGTTCGGTTTCTTTAACACTCTTAGCTGATGGTATTCAGTTAGGCCTTTCATTAAGTAAGTAAAGTTTTGTGATCGATTTTTTGTTATGTCCATTTCATAATTGTGTTTGCTGTATTGTAGCGCTCAGCTCTGGCATATCACAGTGGTGGCACTAGCATGGACCCATCACGTCGACATGTTGGAATTTCAGCGTCCAGCACCACGAGTCGTTCAACCACGAAGACAAGCAGCAGTCCATACAGAAGTGACACACAGCTGCGTAACACTTCCACTAGCACTAGCAACTATAATTCAACTAGTGACATGCCGTCCTATATCCGAGGCTTTGATTCAGCACTCCACAGACACAGAGAAGGTGGCCTACATTTGTAACCTTGTAATGAATCTCTTGGAAGAAACCTGGTTGGGCATTGATAACTGTTGTTTTCTTATTTACGGATTGTGAAATGGCATTGGGGTTTTCAGGGTTCAATCTCCCCTCTGTTAACTTTGTAGAATACAATTAGTAGACTACATGCCTAATACAGTGACATTTCTAAACATGCTTATTAGCAGAATAATAATTTACAGATTTATGTGGTATTATTATTGAAGAGACAGCATAATGAGCCACAGTGCTTATTTGTAATAAAACGTGTTTGAGAACAGATTGGGTAGTCTGCATGCTACTGTACAAAGCAAAAGCTGTTATCTAAAAATCTTCAAAGTTTGAGACAAAACAATTGGATTGAGATATGTTTTTAATTAATTTGAAGAATTTGAGACTGGAACATGCCTGCATTGCATTGGGAGTTCTGGGAAGTACTTTCATTGAAGCTGAAGAATATTGCTGTGCGTAACAGTTAAATTGATGGCACATAGAATATACATTTTGAAACAAATTTCTCATTACAGGCCATACTATTTACATTGGACTTTATTGTAGTGAAAACAAATTTCTCAAACTTTTCTTATACCAGTTACATGGGCCAAGAGAAAATCACCCGCTGAACTCTTAGTTATTTTCAGACCTATGGCCTAAATAGTGCCATTGTAGATCATAATTTATGATATAGAACTAAAGTTTAATCAGTACTGAAGCAAAATGTTTTCTGGACATTATCCATGCACATTTATTAAAGCTCTCTCCAGTTGGAAATTACCCTCTCATCCTGATAACCGAGGATAAAATTTTAGCTACCCACAAGGAAAGGGTTAAAATTATTTTCTTTGAATTTCAATCTCCATGTAAACAACAGCTAATTCTTAATAACTGATTTGCAGAGTTTATACACAGGATGATTCAAAAGTTTAGGGCCAAACTGAAGGAGCGTATAGAGGGACTCAGAGAGAACAACTCTCGAATAGGAATCCATGTCCTCCGAAGTTATCCTGAGTCAGTCGAGGCCATTGACGATAAGGAAGTCTGATAACATACCACTGAAATAATCATAATTTGCTATTCTCCTACTAGCTTAATTTTGTTTTTTTATTATTAATGTACAAGGATTACATTAGCAATCGTACAAACCAAATTTATAACAGGTGTTCAAACTGGTGTCCTCCACATGTGCATGTCCCTGAGCTCTGCAAAAGTGTATCGTTCCATTTCACGTTCAGTGAAGGCAAAAAGATTATGAAAGCAGCAAGACACCAGTCACTATCAAGTCACCAACACAAACAACCCAGGAGCCTCTGCGCTCACAAATAACCAACACGAGACTACAAAAGCAACAATACACCACTCATTATCAACTCACAAACACAATGTAAACAGCCCAGGGGCCTCTGTAGAATCTGACGGAATGTGTGTGATTCAAAATTAAGCTAGTGGGAGAATAGCAAAGTATGATTATTTCAGCGGTATGTTATCAGACTTCCCTATGTTCAATGGCCTCGACTGACTCAAGATAACTTCGGAGGACATGGATTCCTATTCGAAAGTTGTTCTCTCTTGAGTCCCTCTATACGCTTCTTCCGTTTGGCCGTAACCTTTTGAATCATCCTGTATATAGGACGTATATGTATAATGTAAAGACAAACAAGATATAAAGAATATATCCTGAAGTTGTCAAATGTTAGAGACTGAGTAGGCAGAAAGATGATATTCTAAAAACTGTTTATCCAGATTCATGGTTGCCATTGTTTAATGTTTCTCATTAAATCTCAAGTTTGGTTTTTATCACAGTACTTGTCCATTTTGAGAGTAATTATCATAGCTTAGAAGGTATTTTAAAAAATTATGAATACTTCAGCTGTGATTATTTTGTGTTCGTATTATGCTTGTAAAATGCAGGTACCTGTTTTAAAATATGCTGTACTTTCCAATGTTGCACATAGTTTATCAGTGAAGAGAACCACAGATTATAATATTTATAAGTGTCAGAAGAAATTGAAGGTGGAGAGATGAAGGCTGACAAAATTGAACAACTGTTTCTCTTCTTTAATAGTGTCAGAGGAGAGTCCAACAAGAGCACGTCGCCAGGAGTCTGATTCCGACTCAGAAGTGTCAGTAGATGGCCGCAGTCTGGAGCTGGCCTCCAGTCACAGCAGTGATGATGATGAATCTTCCAACAGACATCAGCATAGAGATGTTGGTAAGGCAACCTATAATGTTCCTCCAGGACTGACATAAAAAATGAAAGTCTGAGCGCACACTACTAAAGAGAAAAAGAGAGTGTAACATGTAGAACATGCAAATGTTTACTCTCACAGAAACATTGGTACTGAGAATACAGTAACAGACATTATTTGATGCATCAGCTTCTTAGTGTATATCAGCCATGCACTGGATCTTACACACAGTCTAGCTGGCCATGCATAATAATAGCATACTACTGAACCTTTATCTTTGAGCCAATAAAATCTTCTCGGGCAATCATCCGCGTTAACTGGTTACCGTAGTAAACCGATGGAAGCAGAGTTGATTCCCGAAACGTTGGTTTACTACGGTAACCAATTAATGTGGCTGGTTGCCTGAGAAGATTTTATTGATTGTACTCGCCGCGAAAGTCTCAAATCCTATATCATTATCCTTGAGGTTAAAGTCCGGCCATCAGCCCTACAGTCCGGAATTGAAATACATTCGTTGTGTATTGTAAAGTTTAATGAAGTGTTTATGTGGAATCACCTTTTTGTTGTAGTGAATGCCTATTATGTTGTCAATAATGTAATCAGGTACAGTTTTCTTTACAGAGATCTGTGCATTGATTTCTCCTTTGTAGCATATTTTCATTTTTGCTGGTGCAATGAACTTGTCACATGTTTTATGTACATTTCATGCAGTTCAGGAGAAGAGTGGGAAACATTTTAGCCTTTCATTTGTTATAGACACACACTTTCATTTTCAGAGAAAGGAGGAATTGATTGCTCATGGAAACAATGTATGTTTAGCTTTGGGTAGGTGGTATAGTCGGCGCAGTAGTTTTTGGCCAGTGGAATTTTCAAGGGGAAGGCTAGGAGCGAGTCACTTGTGCGATAGTATAATGCTGACTGCACCGAGGAGCTTATTGGACTGAATGCCCAAACAAAAGAAATACACTGACCGTGCCACCTCAGGTACACAGCTCCGCTAGCTTCTCCACCGGCCAAAAACTACTGCGCCGACTATTCTGGCATTACTTAAAACAGAATGTTTTCTGGTTATTGTAACAACTAAAATATTGCAATTTCTATGCACGTATCATGAAGCATGCACGTTTTACATCCTGTGTGGCTGTGGAAGGGAAGAAAAAAGAAGAGAGATTTATATAAAGTCTCCCTTTAAGCTGCTCCAATTAAAATAATATAAAAGGAGGAATCTGTATAACACAGTTGCTTTCTTAACTTGCATCAGGACTCTGTTTTTCATTGTTTCACTTGGTGATGGTGGTGGTGTCGTATCATTGTGAAATATATTGTGTGGGTGGTCACACTGATGATTTGACTCCTAATCTGCTATCACAGAGACTCATGTTTGTGTTTCAGGGGTTTCAACTATGGGAGCACCGTCTTACCTTCCTAATATCTGTGAAGATCCTTTGGGTAATGGCAGAGTTTCTTCTCCACATTTAAATCACAGTCGAGGACCTCCACCAACAATTCAGCCCCCTCCTTCCTTAAATATTATTAGTAACAGTCAACTATTTCCAAATCTCAAACCTATTTATGCGCCAAGGTGGTCAAGTCAGCTACCTGAAGCATATCTCCCTACTAACAGTAAGTGTCTGTTTAGAAAGCCTAGAATAGCTTATGTCTGCTGAATTACAAAAGCGTTGTTGTTTTGATAAAGCATGGATACAGACTGTGTGAACCAGATGGTTCAGGAACTTTATTTGAGGATGGTGGTTGTGTATTGTGTGCTGCATGCCATTTTCCTTAAACTGTCACACCCGCAGTTTGTTCAATAACATATAAGTTCTATATCCTATTAGCATGTTATTAAATTTCTTTAACTCATTTATTCAAATGTGAAATGTCAGTGTGATGTCTTGTATTGTTATCATCACATTACTGTATGCACACAAAGCAGAAGGTATCTGCAGATTGTAAGGTTTGAGGTTTTTATAGTGGTGAATGTTCTGGGTTCTTGCACTGTGTAATCTTGCAGCATGTTTGTCAAAAGTATTGGTATATACCTGAGTCGGGATAGCTCAGTCAGTACAGTCTGAAGTTTTGTGTAACAATCTTTTTATTTTAACTATAAGAAAATCAAGCTACGTTAAATGTTAAAATGAAGCATATTATTCTGGAGTTTCTTTTTAGAATTTCAGCATGTACTCACTCTACTTGTGACTGCAGCTAGTTATCAATCACTCAGTATAACTCAATGTTACCACAAATTTCTTAAATTATGGCATATTTATCTAAAATATATAAAATCATGCATACAAACAGAACTGTTCACACTTTGAAAAAAAACACTTAGTGCCAAACGTGTTTTGACCTCAAGAGGTCATCATCAGTGGCAAAAACATTAATTCATTAGTCTATTAAATCATACAATTCATAAGACCATGGTTTTGCCACCGATGATGACCTCTTGAGGTCAAAACATGTTTGGCACTAAGTGTTTTTTTTCAAAGTGTGAACAGTTCTGTTTGTATGCATGATTTTATATATTTTAGATAAATATTCAACACTCCACGGTATGCAAGGTTTTAAGATTAAGTTATGGCATTCAGCTCCTCTCTGCTGTGTCCTTTACACATTTGTTTTTTACTTGTATGTTCTTTTTTATGTATGTAAGCACCTAGGTGATGTCTCCAACTACGTGTTAGAGCAGATTACTTTTCGGGCAGGAAATTGATCAACCTGTATAAGTTGGACTGGAAGTATTTCACTTTGCATGTTGCTCTGCTTAAAGTGTGACTGAATGATGTCTTGATAAAATGTGATCTCATTATTCTAAAACTGTTGGAAACTGAATTTTACAACATTCTGTCATCTTTGCCCTGTCACCAACAGTAAATGAAGTACCACTGCTTGTGAAGTAGATTCTGTCATTCCAAATGTGATAGAGGCCAACATGTCATATATATTTATACTTGATTAGTAAATTTCCTTGCATGTTAATTGCTGTATTTTGGATTTTTGTAGTTAGAAAATTTCTCTTAATGCTTCCTGGAAGACACACCATGATGTGATGACTCCAAGAAAATGAAGTATTTATGCAGTAGTGTATGCAAAACATTCAAAACTTCTCTTCAGTATTAGTGTCATTTTGTTTTAACCTTTAAATGACGGGGATTTAAATGGCAAAGTGGTAGCAGCCCTATGGAGTTTTCTCTGCAGGTTTTTAAACTTTTGTGCATACTCTACGGAAAACTTTAATATTATCTAAAGTAAACTTGATAAATTGACGAAATAAAAGCCATATTTATTCGAATAGAACAGAGAATATATAGTTTTTTTTTTAAAAAAATGCAGTTAATATCTTAATTGCCTAAATAGGCCTTAATAACTTTACTTTCTCCTTTGGAAGCTCATTCGACATGGCAGAAGCCATGGTTGTGAACTAATGACCACACAGAAAAATTTGTTTCCGCTACTTCAGTGGATACACATTCTTTTCACCCATCATGAGGAAGAATGTGAGAAATTTTGAATAGGGGGTCTGAAAATGAAGTGGAAACCCATTTGACAATAACAATGTTTATTGCTGTGTATGGTTATAGTTCCAGGGTTGACAGCTCAGGTTGAACTTGCCAGAACCCTAGAGAAAGTGATTCAATATTTGCAGCCCCTAAAAAAGGCCAAAAGGCGTAGCCAAGTCTACTTACATTGTTGCAAATTTTGAGTTCTGCACAAGGAACTTAAGTAGGGCTGAGTACACAACTTCCGTCCCAGACAAGGAACACTAGTAAGATAAAGGTTAAAAAAGGTTCACTTTATTTTGCCCCCTCCGCCCCTCCCCACATTATAGTAATCTAGTATTTAAAGTCAACAATGCAATTAGCTGCTCTCTAGTTGCTACAGTAAATTCAATATGCAGTCATTTTTGGTGTTAATTGGACTATAAATTAAGAATTTCCCTTTAAATGATTTTGCTGGTAGAAAGTAAACACATTTTCACTGAAGATTTTGTTTGCACGTTGTATGAAAGACAGTGAATATATCCAAAGTTTTTATTTCTTAGTCTGGACATTATGTAATTATAAAAAGTACGCAAAATATTTCTGATTTTAAACGTGTATTTCCTCTAGTGATGGAAACTGGTTTGAGAGGGAGCCAGTGGTCGGGAACTGCCTCAGATAATGAAACTTCACCCAATCCTCTACCTCCTCTGACAGAGAGTCACCAAACATCGCCACACCTCCCTCATAAAATGGTTGCTGATCAAGAAAACTTTCATGACCTTGGTGACCAGTGTTCTGAAACTGAGGAGAAAATTCATCTTGGAGACAAATACTTGTTTCCATACACAGGTGTGATCATATTGCAATTTTGATGATAGTGAGGAAGTGTCTTCTGTGGTCATAATTGCAAGCAAAGAGAATATGGCTTGATTAAATACCATTGACACTGTTAAGTTGACAGTCCATCTACACAACAATTTTTTATTATAGTTTCAATATTTATTAAGAATCTACTACATGTTTCAACCTTAATTGGTTATCTTTAGGTGGTTCTCTTTAAGTGTTAGAAACTATTAGATATGACTGCTAATTTGTACACATATTTTCTGTTGCTTTACCATATAATGGACTGTGTCTTTAGCAGCTTACCTGTTTTAGTAGCATGGACTCTGTACATGTAGTTACTGGTGGAAAGCTGTAGTTTAACTGTACTGAGTTTATCTGCAGGTTTACAACATTTGGGAAGATTTTGTTTTAACAAATACAGGCATACCTCATTTTATTGCACATCACTGATATTGTGTTTTATACAAATTGAAGGTTTGTGGCAACCTTGCATCGAGCAAGTCTATCTGCGCCATTTTTCTAACAGCATGTGCTCACTTCGTGTCTCTATGTCACATTTTGGTGGTTCTCGCATTTTTAGACAATGCTATTGCACACTTAATAGACTACAGTGTAGTGTAAACATAACTTTTATATGCACTGGGAAACCAAAAAATTCATGTGACTCGCTTTATTGCGGTGGTCTGGAACCAAACCCGCAATATCTCTGAGGTATGCCTGTATTCATTTAGGCAATTAATCATCTGGAATGGTAAAATTTTCTCCTAGAATGAAACAGCAGATAATTAAGTTTATTTCATATTACCATTTAAACCTCAATAACAGCATGTTAGTAATGATTTATACTCAATTCACAGGAGGCATTTAGGTAGATCAGTAAATGTAGGAATTAATACTTCAAACATGTTACTGGAACAAACGTGGCAACTACATAGTGTAGTAGTAATATGGTCCATATAGTCTTTCTAATATCATGACAATGTGCGTGTTCAGATATTTTAATTACAGCTTGGCTGATATGTTACTGGATGGTGTAATCATAATGTGCAGTTTGTCAACTGTTTTGCATTTTTTTATCCTCTGTGGGTGCATAGCTCCTAAAATCTTTTATAATTCCAAGATGTCTGTTATTCAGTGTCCTAGAAATTTTTTCTAAACTTTGGGTTATTGGCTTAATTTGATTGAAAAATTGTTGCGTCATATGGTTACCCCTTATTGTTTAAATTGTGCCTTATTACAAAACGGATTTGTTCACAAACCAAAGCTCTTCCACAATCCAGTGACAGGAGTTTGCAGGGCTAGAGACCTTGCAGATATTGGCACTGGTTTGGCAATTATTGTTCCTGTAACATCAGCCATTTCACTTGCATTCCAACTTACATTTTTCTGAAAGTTTTTACTCCTAAGCTGACAATTATCTTTATATGTACCCTGTTATTGGGGGTAATTCAGTCTGACCCGTGGGCACTCCCGCCTCAGAAATTGATTCTGCACTTGCCTAGGATTGGCCGAGGCTGGGAATGGTAATCATAGACCATGACTTGGAGCATTTGGTACCTATCACCACTTTTATAATATTACAGTGAAATGCATTCAAAGTAATTTGTCATTCTTTGCTTCTAAGCATTTGTTCACCTGTGCGTTTTATGAAACCACCATTGGTTCTTCTCTAGTATTATAATTTGTATTGCTATGCTTAAGTATGAAATCTGTTTACATTCTGTCAGAGCATCATTGTTTTCATCATCAAAACAACATTAAATGCCTTATTTAAATGAGTGTATTATGAATTGCTTTCATGGCCATCTTTTAGAAGGAATATAACTATATTACAGCCCATTATAAGAAAATAGAAAACTAAAATGTGACTTACTACAGGCATCCATCCATCCAATGGCTCTACAGCCCATATCAGGCCTTGGCCTCCTCAATTTTCTGCCTCCATGAAGATCTATTATTTGCGGCCATTTTCCAATTTCGACATTGGATCAGACCGGCATCTTCCTCTAGGTCTTCCCTCCGTTCTTGTCCCTTCAAACTCAGCATTTAGGACTTTCTTATGGGTTCTTGTGCCATCCATCCTTTGAATATGCCCCGCCCACTGCAGTCTTTTTAATTTAATGCACGTTACAAGATCAGGGTCTTTATATAGCGCTTATAACTCCTGGTTATATCTTACCCTCCACTGGTCATTATCTTTAACTCGGCCACAAATCCTTCTTAGTATTTTCCTTTCAAACACACTCAGGACATTTTCCGATTTCTGGAACAGCACCCAGTTTTCCCAGCCATACGTAAGAACACTGCAAATTAAGGTTTTATACAGCAGTATCTTCGTTTTCCTGTGTATATCTCCACTTTTCATCACTGCCACTATTGAAAAGTAGGCCTTATTGGCCAACATTAGACTTCTTTGGATCTCTATATTCATTATTATTACTGTTAATGCATTTGCCCAGGTATACTAAACTATATTACAGCCCATTATAAGAAAATAGAAAACAAAAATGTGACTTACTACAGGCATACCTCGGAGATATTGCGGGTTCGGTTAAAGACCACTGCAATAAAGCGAGTCACACAAATTTTTTGGTTTCCCAGTGCATATAAAAGTTATGTTTGCATTATACTGTAGTCTATTAAGTGTGCAATAGCATTATGTCTAAAAAACAATGCGAGAATTTCCAAAATGTGACACAGAGACACGAAGTGAGCACATGCTGTTGGAAAAATGGCGCTGATAGACTTGCTCGACGCAGGGTTGCCACAAACCTTCAGTTGTAGAAAACGCAATATCTGTGAAGCGCAATAAAACAAAGTGCAATAAAATGAGGTGTTCCTGTACTTATGAAGAGTGCTATTGCAAGTAAATATCTGTAAGATAAATGTCAGATTAGTCATAGAACAGTTTGCAGTTTTCTTTTGGAACATTTCAAGGTTAAGCAATGATTAGATTATCTACTTTAAAGTGTTTTATTGTATAACAATTTTTCTTAGTTCTGTTTTTGCATACAGGACATTTATGAGTGTAGAATGAGGAAGGCATACCGATTACTTGCTTTGATCGCAGCTGAAGAGGACCACTGTGGGTCAGGAGGCTACATTCTTCCATCGTTACCTGGTCGAATTCTTGCTGCTTCATCCAGTGAGTTATCGGCAATGCGGGCACGATCGTCACCCAGTCCGTTGCTACTTGCGGCAAATGCTGCCGCTGCAAGCAACATATTAGTGCCACCCATGATTGCCACCAGCATCTCTGAATCAGAGTAAGTTGCCAAATATACACAGTGTTGACCGTTCTTGTCCCTTCAAACTCAGCATTTAGGACTTTCTTATGGGTTCTTGTGCCATCCATCCTTTGAATATGCCCCGCCCACTGCAGTCTTTTTAATTTAATGCACGTTACAAGATCAGGGTCTTTATGGAGCTCGGTTTCTTCACTTCCTGAAGCTTTAACTCTCTTAGCCCAGCGACCAACGGTGCTCCTATCGACTGCACAGCTTCCATACACAGCACACAAACGTTTATGAATGTTCACCACAGTTTCTTTTTCAGCAAAAAAGAATTCAATTACAGCTCGTTGCTTGTAACGAGAGTCGTTCACAGACGCCATTTTAACAGTTCACTACAGCTCCGCCATTGGTTGGAATAATTTGAAACTCCGTACACGAACGCGAGAAACATCAAATCTCAAGCATGTAAAAGTACACTTTTCTATCTTCATTATTGGCTGAGAAAAAAAATGTGGGGCATTATTTAATGAGCGACCCTCGTAATTTAGATTTTATGTTTGTTTTCTTTCTTTTCTCTCTCTCTTTACATGTATGTGTTATGCATGTAGTTTTTAATATGTTAATATTATATGAAATTTATTTATTTCAGTTATGAAAGTTTGAGTGTTTAAAAAAGATCCTTAACAGGATTGGATTCCTGGGAATTCTGATTTTGACAGCTCATGTAATTGGTGTCAACATTTTGGGCTGTGTTTATTTTAATAGTTAAAGCATGGTGTCACTTAAGCAGATCTGTGTGGAGTCGTGCCTTGAGGTGCCATTATGCTAGAAAAGATCAGTGTCACCATATCATTTGTCCCCTCTTTCTGGCCAGACCCAGGATGTACCCAAAGGTTCTACTGCGAGAGGAGAGTATTCGCAGAAATTCCTTGATGTAAATCTTTTTCTCTTGACAATGTGTGACCAGTCATGTCTGTAGCATAGCGTAGTCATGGGGCTTATACTACTCAACCCATATGCCTGGTATTTTGTGTTACTGACTGATGTTGGCAGTGTTGACTGCTCTCGTCATCCAGCTCCTCCTCACGCGCTTCTCATAATGAATGTAATTTCATGGAATATCTTACTCCACAGCTTTCTAATGGTTTTATTGATGGATTACAAAATCAGGATTGTGTTGCCTTTGGACCATCAAATCCTGGCACAGTATCTGCTGTTGCCAAACACTGAGTTCTAGTCGTTCCTCAGTGTATGAAGAATATTCATACCAGGTTCTATTTAGCGTCTGTATGTGGACCTTTGCTTATAATATTTCTATGTGTATAATACTTTGTCAGAATTCTCAGTAGTTTAGAATTTAATTTATTTGACAGCTGTAAACCTGAATTGATTCTTTCGAAGATATAAATTGCAGTCATGATTGTTGAAAGTGGTACTTACGTATTTATTCATACATAGGTATCAGAGAATCTAATTTACACAATATTTTAATTAATATTTAAATATCCTTCAGTTTTGGTGAAGCTTAAGTACTGTGTTTTGAAATATATTTGTCATTGTATTTACTGTTAAAAGGTTTATATTATGGCATTCTGGTGTGTTTTCTTACTGGTCTATTTAAATTTCACTCTTTATATAAAATTTTCATTGATTCTTGTAATCATCTTAGTATATTCTTATACTGACACACAGATGTTACAACTGAACAACATGCTTTGTCTGACATAGTCATCATATTGGTAACAAGAATGTATGACACCAAATGAGTACAAATAAAGTACAAACACTCGGCAGAAAAGTTTTTATCAGTAAACGCAGTATGACCATGGAACAGGAGAATCGGCAACATAGATACAACTGTGAATATGTATTTTAACATATTGGGTTTTGTTAATTTATTTTAGCGTAGGTATAAATGTATCTCAAAGTGTATGTAGTGAACTTGATGATGATTATGTTGGTTGAAATGTGTTTAGTTGTAACATCATTGTGTCACTGTAACAATACAATAGTATAATTTACTTTTCAGAAATGTTCAAAAAAGAAACTACCAGGTGATTCAAAAGTCTCTGTACATAGGGAAAATGGACACTTTTTTAACATACTGTCACTTTATTCACAGAACATGCTCTACAGGGTTGCCATTCCTTTGAAAACCCATATGGATGTGTCTCTCCCACTCATGGTTAACTCGTGATAACAAATCTGGTGTTATGTGCGTAATTGCATTTTGAATGCATTCCTTTAGGTGATTTCCCTATGTATGGAGACTCTTGAATCACTCTGTATGTATATGAATTGTGTTTTACAATACAATTTGATGTGGAATGAAATTATGGTTTTGGCTCAATGCCGGTATTGGGGCTGTATAACTATATTGGGCACTTTGCTTCCATTTATTGGATTATGGATGGGTAACACACTAATTGACATATGAATACTAATGAATAATTTCCTTCTCTTTTATTGGCCTCACTTGCTTTCCTCATGGTTTCTGCGTAGGGACGAGGTAAGTGTCTTTTGACATACCGTTTGTTTGAGTTATGCATAGTACATGGATTTTTGTTTGGCTTAAACCTACTCTACTTTCATTACTAATTTTTAACTTGATTGTGCTGATTGCATTGACTTTCAGAAGTCTGTAAAATCTGTCAATATTTCTTCACAGGCAAAGCATGCATGATAATCCTATGCACCAATGTAGTTTACTGCCTATTTGTTTAGCACAGTGTTGAATAGTTAGTTGTCTGGTCTTCGCTTTTGTAATTTTTCACAAAGAATCTCAGTATTTCTGTCTTGCATCTTACTCTGTTGATGAAACATTACATTTCAAGGAATAGTCATCTGGAAAATTTGTTCATTAGATGGAATTTGTGACTATTGGGAAACCTCGATGCATCGTTTTCGGCGGGGGTGGGAAATAAAAACGATGAATGCGGGAAAACGATAGATGCGGGAAAGCATTAAAAATTTAAAAAAAACAATGTTTCTCTTTCAAAGTTACTTCTTTTTACCAAAAAAGTCTTTAGTGGACAACTGGTTTGTCGAAACTTTACGTTTTAGACCAAACAGAGCACTTTCCACGTTCAAAATGTTTTCCTCGTCACGTTCACTAATATTAAGCGCATAAAAGAACGACTTCACTTTCGCCAATGCAGCGTGCGCTTCGGCTTAACAACCCCATTTTTAAAGCACTCCAGTACCTTGACCTCAACCCTGACAAACCACCTTTCACCCACTAGCAACGCAGTCGGTAACCAGCCACGATCCAGTACAGTACGCTCCGATCTCATAATACTGATATGATATTACTTCTTGGGTAAGTTCACATGATTAATTTCAACTATTTATTTTGTTTTCTATATTCAATTTTCATTAATAGTATTGAAACCTTTACTTCACAGTCCATATACACAACATTGGCATCACTACGAAATACAATCATATTAGTGACTTGTGATACAACAACGGATGAAGATACAATATGAAAGACAAGAACATGATAAGAAAAATGAAAACTAAAAATCATTAAAAATCAGTAATTCAGTTAAAAAGTTTATAACATAACACCTGATGATGGCTATATATAGCCGAAACATGTCGTAAGTGTTCCACATGTAAATCGAGTACTCGATAAGGAACGTAAAATGATATTTTAATCTTTTAATTATCTTATATTGTGATTGACGGCTAATTTTAATATATTTTTAATACTATTTAAATAAATCACAATATGACGCATCTGCAATATCTTATTGGTATTGTTTATGAAAAGTTAATTGCATGATCGTAGATGCAGCATAAAGGTGCCCAAACTACTAAATTTGTGTTCCCTTATCCTGTTTTTGATATGGTAGAATCTGTAAGCCTTAGGGGCAGTAATATAGTTGATTATATTGGATTTATTTTGTCACACAACTAGATCTTTATTTAAATGTTGGGATATAAATGTAACCACTTCAGTTTGCCTATATCATATTTTACATATCTTTAATGTACTATGTAGTGTCTTGGTTACATTGATGGTTGAAATGCTCAGTCACACAGTCTATTTCAGCATTGCAACAAGTATTATAGGATTATAGGATTATTATAATTTTCTTTGAGGAACTAAAGAAAATGTGATAAATCACAATCAGCATATCGTCTGAGATTTTTACAGAGGTGAAAATGTGGTTTGTGGTCTTCTGGGTTTTGACACGTGAATGTTATCTCATAGGTGGTTACTATAATATGAGAGGGACAACTTCTAGATGAAGGTGATAGGTTTCTCTAAAACTTTGGTAACGAAACTATGGTGGGGTGCCCTGTCTTGTTGATACCACATGTCCTCATATCCATATAGTAGTTGATGAATGGTGGGAACAATGGATTCTTGAACGTGTGTGGTACCATCCTTTTTTGGGGGTAAAGTGCGATCAAGGTGTGACGCTGACCACTCACCCCTATCTAGTGAAGAGTTTAAGAATGAGTAGGAGCTATAACCCCCAAGCACCTACATGGTGTGTAGCAGAACAGATTTACTTTTATGTTACTCTCATATGACTCAGTACATAATTGAACACTGGATTACTAGTAGTGCTGTAATGCTGTAGTCTCATATGACTCAGTACATAATTGAACGCTGGATTACTAGTGCTGTAATGCTGTAATTGAAATTATCTTGTAAGATTTGTGGTTTTCACAGCAGCGAGTCTGAAGATTGCTGTCTTCTGGGTTGTTGCGTCATGTTGTCTGGTAGATGTCCACCAACGTTTCAGAGAACATCCTGCCTCCATCATCAGGGTGATCGCAGAGGCAGCATGACCTCTGAAACGTTGGTGGACATCTACCAGGCTACAACAACCCAGAGGACAGCAATCTTCTGAAATTATCTTACAGTTTTCTGAACAGTGTCTCCTGTAAAGCCTAGAATTGTGTCGAAGGGGGAGATGGTTTTTTGCAATGTTGGACTTTTTCTTTATGATTGTTTTCTTTTTTATTACAATTTATGCAACTTGTGGATATTGAAGACACTAAATCACTGAGGAATTTGTACTTGCCTTGTTAAGAAAGTGGAATTACCAGATATGTTTTGTGCATAATTTTTCTCATCTGAATTATTTTAGTGCTAAGCAGACATTTAGGTTTTTATGTGGCTGATTTGGTATGTAGTAGATATATGACATGAATAAGCCAAATATGGCGTAAAGACCTTCATCAGGAAATCTGCTATGTATTACAAATGTGTGAATATTATGCTTAGTGTTAATCAATTAATTTTGCAGGAAAGATATGAATGAAACTCCAGTATGATTAGAGTGACAGCTTCCTTCAGACAACAGCAGTGTAAGATGTGTTTTTGAAGAGGATTTCTTCATTGTGCTCAAAGTGGAGTAGAGGCAAAATATGTGTTGTGAACATGAAAATCTGATCGTTTTAAACCAAATGCCTGATGCTCAGTTTTGATAAATGTAAGTATATGTATCTCCTATATATTGTACTTAATCATTAGAAATTTGTTATTTTTCTTTCACATTCCAAAGATATTTAAAATTATATAAGCACATACAACTTAATTTAATGAAAGATTTATGGTGTCAACTACGATGTTGATAATTATGTTTAAATCGCTGCCATATAAGAGACTATTTATTTTTAATGTGTACATACATATATATATTTTGATGCAAGTAGTTGAATAGCAATCATTCAATTTATTTATATTGATGTCTTTAATGCTGCCATTGAAAGGAATTTTGTTATCTGGAATATAATACAATTTGCACTACTCAGATTGTGAATTTGCACACTTTAGGAAATGTTACAAATCTGTTGTGAACTGTTATTTGTTAACTCAGAACAGTACCTGAATGTTTTCAATATATATGAATGAAAAGAAGTGGTCAGTTTACATTCACTATTTCCGTAACAGTGCACATGGCTAACATTTTGGATTTTGAGAAGAAAACCTACAGCTGAAAGTAGCAATTATAACTTAAATGGGACAGCCTCATTCTCAATCTTGGACTTATTTTCATCGTGTCTGTCATCATTAATTCAATCATAGTGACATCCATAAATATTTATTACAGTTATTTAATTTCTCACAAACATGCCTCTTAGGCCATCTTTAGTGCCTACTACAGTTATTTAATTTCTCACAAACATGTTTCAGCCTCTTAGGCCATCTTTAGTGCCTAATTATTCTACACAGATTGTATTTGCTGATCAGCTCAGGATTGTACAAATGTCTTTTAACATTTTCTACCCAAACACACATTTACTTGTTAGGTCACTGAGGCAGTCACATGTTATCTCATTTTCTGCAGCTTTGGTCTTTATCCCAGTGAAATAAGAGAATTTTGCTTTTGGTAGGAATTTATATGAAGGGCATGTGGACAGGTTTTAAGAAGCCATTGGCATGCCATACGTGGAAGCAAGGGAATCATTGCTTATGTAGTTGGGAAATGAAAGTTGAATAGTAAGATTGTGAATATTGTCATCTTCTCAAGAATATAATTCATGGCGAAGCAAGAGACCGGACTGCAGGCAGAGAGTGTCCTTGGGGGGTCATTACCAAGTTTCCTTTCATTAATCTTTGTAATAGTTCATCCCACCCAAAGTATCTATAGGAAGCAATTCTGACTGTGTTGTTCGTATTCCTTGGCTTGTAGTGCAGAAGCCAAATAATGTGTTCTTTCAATGGTGATGTGAAAATTAACTGTTTATGTGTGATTTCAGTTCTTGTTGGGTGTTGTAAGCAACAATAAGTTTTATTAACACATTGTACGTGCATACTTAGATAGTGCAGGATTGTACTTGTGATCGTATTTAGAAGCATGTTAAACTCCAGAAAGTAAGCGATCCGCATGCAAGGGAAGCAATTCGTGGTACAAGTTGCAGGGGAGTGATTAGACTACACGCACAGCTCAAATGAAAGTTGACAGAGAAACTTCATGTGACTGTGCAACCAAACACGTTTTAAAACGGGTTTAACAGTAGGGACTTTTCTGAAAAGAAAATAATTATTGAAAGACGACGACCGACATGCGAGTTGCCAGAACTTAAAGCACAAACCAAATCATGTGTGAAGAAATTTAATTTGGAACAGTACTCTAAAACAGAGTGGCTATGCGGTTGCCGTAACATAGGAAAATTATTTTGTTGGTCATGCCTATCGTTTCTGAATGAAAAAGTATGTATGACTGAATTCGGTGATATCAACAACCTTCATAAAGCACTGAAACGACATGAGAACTCTCAAATCCACATTATTTCAACAATGCAACTTGTGATGTTCGGCAAGTCTCGAATTGACTATCAACTTGACAATCAAAAAATACCACTGCTTCCCTTACAGAAAATAGTACCACACACCACTGGAAGAAGCTAGTGATAAGGATTACAAGGTTGTTTGCATGGATACAGGGGTATTTTGAAATAGATCAGCTTGAAATTATGAACTTTGTTATTCGCAGCAGTTCACAAAGGTGTGAACTCTTTGGGCCACAGTTTACAATTTTACACAGCTCTCACATAAAAAAACCATTATTATATGATACAAATTAATTGAATGGAATTGAGGCAGCTGACATCAAGACAACGCCATTATTATATGATACAAATTAATTGAGGCAGCTGACATCAAGACAACACATTCAGGTAATCATTTCAGTTTTATTTACTCCAGATATTTAAACAAGATGCTTTGTGATTTACTGTTCATTTTATAAGTCTCAAAATGTTGTATAGAGTGACGTGGGGTTGAACTGCCCACTAATCAAAATACCACTTGCAATTGGAGTAGCATCACCCAACTATAAAAAAAGTTCCTTTTGGGATTATGACATGTATCAATAAATTCTAATTAATTAGTTCTAATTGGCCAACCAAATTGGAACTTATTCCACTTCTTGATTGAAGGTAAATCACCCTCTTGAGAGTGGTTAAGGGTGCTTCTGGAAAATTAAGAGATACTAGGGTGAGGATGTGAACCAATGCACCCCAATGGAAATTTTCATAAGCTTCAGCTACCAACCTTGATTTGTGTGCTGAAACATGAGTTCTGGATCTGCTGTCCCTTGGGCGTCTAGATTACAATACACTGGGGCAGGGATCTGATTCGTGGCATATACACTTTCCGCAAAGAAAGCAACCTGCTCTCCTCGACAGATAACAGTCATATCATTACACACGCTTGCAGGTTTCAAGTAAATTACTTACAAAAATAATAGGGGAATTTGCGTTATATGCAAAGATTTCAAATTGCACTCCTCTGTAAAACCAGAATGATGCCAATTTATCTGGTTTTGATATCACATCATATGAAAGCCAATCTGAAAATCAAACCTGACTGTACTGTCATATAACTGTATTCAAAAATAAAAATAGCCTTAGGACCTGTGATATTTTTCTTGAGTATCAGATGTGAAAATTTCATAGCTTCTTTAACTTGTGAAGTGTGCATTTTCATGAGTGGATAAGTAATTAAAGAATGTTTATGTGTGTGCGCGTGTGTGTTTGTGGTCTAGGAACTGGGCATTCCTAAACTTGACTACAACCTCCTCCTCTAGCAAGAAAACTATAATTAAATTATTGAAATGAATCTTTGCAGGAAAAAACTTTGTATTTGTAGAAGTCTGTGGAAAGTAGTGGAAATATGACAGATGCCATGAAACTAATGGCTCTCAAGATAAATTTACTGTTAGCCAAATTTAGTTATTTTTCTTATATTTTGATGATGGTGTTTCAAAATATGCAAAGGTATTCAGTTGTTCGGTATGTATAAAAGAAATTTCAAAGTGCTGGTACTGGATAATTTTGACTTCTTGTATTATTCATGAAACTGGCTGATGATTGCACTTATGGTTTGCTGTATCAGCATGACTTATGCCTCATGAACAGATCTTAAAATAATTATTGAGTTTACCAAACTGATGATTATTTTAAGAAAACTTTCAATGCTTGTAATATTTGTATTTTCATCTGCATGTGGATATTTTTTTGATTTTTAGGCTTATATTCTTGAAAGTTTATACTTCACTCAAAACAAAAGAGTTTATTTCATCACAATTTTCATCTGCATGTGGATATTTTTTTTATTTGTAGGCTTATAGTCTTGAAAGTTTATACTTCACTCTAAACAAAAGAGTTTATTTCATCACGTACATTAATACACTGTCACTTTGAACAGCTACAGGGCATGTGTCAGTTTGTGTTATATTAGACCTGTTGTGTGTTTTGAAACATCACTGGATAAAAGACAAATATTTAAACTATTGGACAACAAATAAGTGCACCTACATGGATGCACTGTGATAATTCTGAGGAATCTATAATGCATTATGTTACTTTTATGTGGGTATTTTAAGTATGTCACTTGAATAATGTATTCAATTTTTAGAATGCATAAAGTAAGAGCTGAAAGAGCTTTGTATTTTTCAGTTCTGTTTCTTTAAATTAGAGTTTTGTGTATTTTACTTAAGTGTATGATTTTATTATAATTTACTGTAAAAAATATGTATTTAAATATAAGTAACATCTCTTCACTCAAGTAAATATAATTGAAACTTTTTCTTCCAGAATAAATATTAGAAATATATGTGAGTGCAGTAGAAGGGCATATTAAATGACATAAGATATTACTAGGATAATATTTTTAAAAATGAATTCTCATGTTGTAGATGTCACTATTGTATTTATACTTCTGTCAACAATCATTCTATTGTTTAGAATAAGGATCCCACATTAGAACTAACATACTTCATTCTAGTATGGTTCAGCATAGTTTTAACAAAAGCAGTGGCTACATTTTTAAAAAAACAAATGAACGGATTTGTTAGGACAAAGAAAGCTGTGAGATTTGAACTTCGTATTGTTTAAGAGTAAGCAATATTATGTCTACAGTTATTTAAAAGAAGCTTGTCTTGTCATGAAAATACTGATGTTTTGGATTTACAAATGTTCATGATGACATTTATCTGAAAATTCCTAGACATTATGTATCAGTGCTTCATAATGGCCAGTTGCAGTGGTCACGCGGTCTGAGGCATGGACCTCGTGCGCCTGGCCGCTGGGACCGTGTGTTCGAGTCCCACTCAAGGCATGGATGTTTGTCCGCGTCTTTCTGTGTTTGTACAGGTAGAGGCTTTGCAATGGGCTGATCACTCATCCAAGGAGTCCTACCAATGTCAAAATAGATCAAATGAATAAATAAAAACCTCGACACCTGCGGGTAAAAGAGGATAAAGATTAAGTAAGCTTCATAATGAAATTTATGATATTGGTTAAAAATTATTAATGCAAAAGTGTTATCCTCATGTATTACAAAATTTAATTAATTTATGAATAGATTGTTAACACAACTGTCCAAAGCCTGTGACTTCTGTAAGAATGTCAGCCATATTTTTAGTTACTGTTAAATCTGAAGTGCTTTCTGCTTCTGTTTAGCCACCACATGCAGGTATGGTAGAATTAATGTGGGAGTTCATTAGATATTCCACGTTTTTATTGTGAGTGTGGCTTACTCCATGACCAT